AGCTGAGTTGCAGGGAACTCAGCTGGGATCGCCAGAGCCATTTAAGGCTCATCAGAGCCTTTCGGGCTGGTCTGCCTGGTTACAGGAGAACGACACCTGGCGTATAAGACGACCCCCGACTTTTGAGAAGATTTTCATGTGTTAAAAAGTCGTCTTATACGCCAGAAAATACGGTACCCCTGAACCATTCCCCCTTGGAATCTCCAAGCTATGTTGGAACTCAACTTCTAGAATTTCTTTAGCCATTGCACATCTACAAAGCATGAGATTGGAGAAGGCTAACATAATTGTTTTTTTCTAACAGAATGCCTGTTCAGGGTTACACATAAATTGCTATCCCTTTCCTTAGTCTAGATTCTGGTTTGACTGTTTTGTTTTTTCTTTAGATAGAATGTTCCATATTTGATCTGGAGCATTTGAAAAACTTGTAACATATTAGGAAAATGTGTCAAGTTTATTTTTGCACAATTATTGTATATGATTAATAATTATTTGGCACAGGATATGTTCTTCCCTTATCAGATAGATTTTTAAAGATTTACCCTGTGGTAAGATGGGTGTCCGATAGATTTATTTAATTAATTAATTAATTTTCCTTACATAATGTTCAAAATTATAAAAGAATTATTATTTATTTTATGAAACTGGTAAAAATAATAGAATTATTATTTGAGAAAGAAATGCCTTTATCAAAAGTTGTAATGGTGTTCAATGGTAAAATAATAGTGCTAGGCCTAGTTGGTATGTTGAATGACAAAAGTTATTTCCATAAATTGTAAACTGAGTTTGTAAATTGTAAAATAGGGATAGGTGTATGTATTGTTTTGAATGTGGTTTATTCAATTATATAAATTACTGATTTTATTGTAATTTTCATTATATGTGGGAGGGTCTTAGAGAAGCCACATAGGCATATATTTGTAATATATAATTAATTCTACATTCTTGAATTTGTGTTATATGTTTAATTATAGTGTTTTATCTTATCATTTAGAGCTCCACTTGGAACTGATATCTCAGAACAAGTAAAAGAAGCTTTCATCAAAGTGCCAGCGCTAAATCTAGCAGTATGATATTTGGTATTTTTCAGTTGTTTGGAAAAAAGTGTCATTTTCAAAAACTTTTTAATGGGGACTCCATTTTGTTGCTCCCTGGTCATCTGGACCAGTTGTGTGACATTGCCAAGTAATTTAATTATAAGCTGAGGAAAAATTTAAGATATGAAAATGGAAAAACAGGAGATACATTTTTAGTCACTATAAATGCGGAAGGTGTTTCTAAACATTTTATTGTTTGTAAATTTGGATATATGTTCCATTATCAATTAAATTTCAAGGCTGGCATTTTTCAGTGGTTTAATGATCACTATTTGCAGAAATAAAAGGAATGGATGTTACACATGTTTGGTCCGAATTGAAAATAATACCCTCAAAAAAGAAGGGGGTCAGAGGAGCAAGTGCAGTACCCAGCTTCCCCACTTAAGTACTCTTGGTTTGCAAATTGTAGCTGAAATAAATCTTCAATATTCCACTCTCACCCAATATAAGTGAACACATGTCAGCTCTTTACATCTGTTTATATATGTACGCAAGTGGATATAACTGCCAGAAGCTACTTTCCAGAAACTGTAGAGGCAGGACAAAAAAAGTCACTGGTTCAATTAGTAACTACTGATTACAGTTGCTTGTAAAGTAAGGTTCTCCCTTTACCAAATGGATTGATCTCCATCAATATAAATCAACTATTTATTTATGGATAAAAGATTGGATCGAACTAAAAAACATAAGAACATTAATATTGGAAGGTTTTGCCTTGACAAGGGGATGGCATGCATATCTTTGGGGAGAGAAAATTACAAAACAAGAACAATTTCGCAGACATATTGTAAGAGACAATTTGCTTAAAATATGGAATGAAATCGGAAAATATCACTATGATAGGATTCTTAGGTGGACTTCCATAATGGAAGCACATATTTATCCAAATACAATTGATACAAATAAATTAAAAACATATCAGGACATCTTAAATGAAGAAGGAAAACTAAAAACAAGAGAAGAATTGAGAATGCAAAATGTGGAAATAGAGTGGTGGTCATATTTGCAATTAAAATCCAGATATAAATCTGATATGGAAAAAACTGGAATTCAAATGGAACCAAATCAGTTGGATAAAATTTTATTAGGCTCCAATGAGAAATTAATAACCAAAATTTATAATTTTCTATTGGAATATAAACTAGCAGAGGAAGTCGTTAAAGAGAATATGATCACATGGGCGACGAATTTTGGGTATGCAGTAGAATTAAATAAGTGGGAAAAATTGTGGAAAAGTATTAATAAATTAACATTATCTGTACCATACAAAGAAAATGCTTATAAATTGTTCTATAGGTGGCATCTACCACCGGCGCGAATTTCTAAAATGTTTCCCAGTACATCTCCACTCTGTTGGAAATGTAAAGAGCATAAAGGGACATACTATCATATATGGTGGTCATGTCCCAAAGCTAAAAAATTCTGGAACAATATAAAAATTCAACTGGAACAAATAATAACTCAAAAGGTACCATTAAAACCAGAAACTTACTTATTAGGAATACCTACAAGCAAATATGAAAAAGAAATAATATATTTAATAACACACATTTTGACTGCAGCAAGAATCATATACGCACAAAATTGGAAACAAGAAGAGGTCCCGACTCAAGAGAAATTAATATCCAAAATTATGGAGTGCGCTGAGATGGATAGACTCACCAAGGAGATCCAAGGAAAGGAAGAATCTGAATATTATCTGGTCTGGCAAAAGTGGTATAAATGGTTAGAGGGAAGTGAAAAAAAAGAGAAGAAGAAAGAAAGAAAGAAAAATTAAATAAAAGAAAAGATATCAATAGAGTAAAATAAATTTTTACATCAAATGAAATTTAAGAAAGAGACACCAGATATCAATAAAATAGTATCATTATATAAGGTGAGAGAAATAATGTATACTGAAGAATATAGGATATTGATATTGTAACAATTCAGATATTATAGGTAGATGTTATTAAGATGATGCTTGTTGTAAATTGTTTTACTTGCATTTATAAATGTATTATGTGGTTTCTTAAATTAATAAAAGTTTAAAAATTAAAAAAAAAATCAACTATTCTTTCTCTTGGATGCAAACCATTCCAGCATATGGAAACATATAAATGTATGCACAAATATTCCCTTTCCTTCTTCCAGCACAAACAGCTAAAAGGTAAGAGGGAAAAAAGGAAGCAAATAGAATAAAAAGAAGGAATAGCTACAGTGGTGAGAAGAGGGAAAATAGATGGAGATGTGATACAGGTAATCCTTGATTTACAACCATTTCTTTAGTGACCAAAGTTACAACAGCACTGAAAAAAAGTGGCTTATAACCATTTGTCACATTTATGACCGTTGCACCACCGGGTGGTCACATGATCAAAACTCAGATCAGGGGTGAAATGCTCCCAGTTCGGACCAGATCGCCCGATCTGGTAGCGATGGAGGCGGGTGGTTCAGAGAACTGGTAGCAAAAATCCTTGCTCCCCCCCCCTGCTCAGTTGAGCCGCACAATCATCAGAGGCTTTTTTCCTAACTTTTAAAAGCATTTTTTCTACAACCTCTTCGGCCAAAAAAATGCTTTTAAAAGTAAAAAAAAAAAGCCTCTGATGATAGCACGGCTCAGCTGGGATCGTCAAAGGCTTTTAAAAGAAAAAAAGTCTCTGCTGATCAGGCAACTGAGCTTGGATCGTCAGAGGCATTTAAAAGAAAAAAACCCTTTTTTTCTTTTAAATGCCTCTGACGATCAGGCAACTCAGCTTGGATCGCCAGAGGCTTTTAAAAGAAAACAAGCCTCTGCCGATCAGGCAACTCAGCTGCGATCGTCGGAGCCTTTTGAAAGCATTTTTTTACAACCTCTTCACCGAAGAGGTTGTAGAAAAAATGGTTTTAAAAGTAAAAAAAAAATTGGCCACACCCACCCAGTCATATTTTCACCATCCCCGAAGCCACACCCATAGAACTGGTAGTAACAAATTTTAGATTTCACCACTGACTCAGATGCTTGGCAACTGGCATGTATTTATGACAATTACAATGCCTTGGTCTTATGTGATCATCTTTTACGACCTTTTGACAAACAAAGTCAATGGGGAAACAGATTCAGTTAACAACTGTTACTTAACAATGCAGTGATTCACTTAATAACTGTGACAAGGAAGGTTGCAAAATGGGGCAAAACTCAATAATTGTCTTGCCTAGCAACAGAAATTTTGGGCTCAATCGTGATCGTAAGTTGAAGACTACTTGTACAAGAAATAACAGGAGAGTAAAGGAAACAATTATGTGAGTTAAAAAAAAAATCATAGGTAACAGCACATAATCTTTGAATTTATCCAAGATTTGCAGCAGTACCTTTACAGCCTATTGCCTCATGCAGAGTGCTTGTTTTCAAGAGCTTATCGGTGAATGTACAGTATTAACATTTCATGTCCCCTTTTTTGCTGCAGTGCTATATTGTTTGAAAAGGGTGAAATCCAGCAGGTTCTGGAGAACCGGTAGGGGAAATTTTGAGCAGTTCGGAGAACCAGTAGTGGAAATTTTGAGTAATTTGGAGAACCGGCAAATACCACCTCTGGCTGGCCCCAGAGTGGGGTGGGAATGGAGTTTTTGCAGTATTCTTCCCCCAGGAGTGGGGAGGAAATGGGGATTTTGCAGTATCCTTCCCCTGGAGTGGGGTGGGAATTGAGATTTTGCAGTATCTTTCCCCTGACACGCCCACCCAGCCACGGCCACAGTACTGGTAGTAAAAAAAATTGGATTTCACCACTGATTTGAAATAAAGATATATTTTAATTTACCCTGATTCTTCCTATTTGCTTTTCACAGATGAAGTCATATCTGGTTGCCAGTGTTTTTATTTCTTACTTCTATATCAATTTCTTGCGGTTGTTTTCTTCCCAATTTGGAATAAATCCATTAAATCCATTACAGATGCAATCATATTTTTATTTGCATGAAACTGCATGGTAACAACTTCTTTTCTGCTATCACAATATAGACAATATGTTTAAATTTTCTCTTCGGACAAAGCATATTTGAGTGCCCCGACATTAACAATTCTTGGTCTTGAAACCTGAATGAGGTCAGAAGTTGTTGTGTGTGGAAATTGATAGTGTCCAGATGCTGGAATGCGGGGTTTCTCCAGAGCTTTTACTCTTCCCATTATATGTGAAGTTGGGGGAATTAAAAAGAGAGAATCCTTCGGGCGAAACTTTGCTTTGTATACTTTAACACCAGTACCTCGAAATTTTTCTAGAAAATAAAAGCAACGCTTTTACTACTATCAGTATTATCTGCCAGATATTTCAGACTGTTCAGACAAATAATGTTGCAACATGAGGAGGACTACTTGTGGGCTGGATCCTTATTCCACCTGGTTCATTTCAACAGAAGTGGAGTGAGTAGCTGCATTGGAGAATAGTTCCTGCCAGCTTGAAAATGATGGCGGTGTGTGCCCTCCTGGTCAGGCCACCTCTTAATCTGGCCATGCTACACAATTAATGAATTGCGGTGGCACAGTGGTTAGAATGCACTACTCCAGGCTACTTCTGCTGAGTGCCAGCTGCCTGCAATTTGGCAGTTCGAATCTCACCAGGCTCACGTTTGACTCAGCCTTCCATCCTTCCGAGGTTGGTAAAATGGGGACCCAGATGGTTGGGGGGCAATATGCTGACTCTGTAAACCGCTTAGAGAGAGAGCTGTAAAGTACTGTGAAGCTGTATATAAGCCTGCTATTGCTATTGCTACTGTCTGGCATCCAATCTTCCCTTTTTTTGGGAGGGGAAGTTTGGAGAAGGTGGTTGGGGAAGCAGATTGTCAGACCTAGATATTGAATAGAAACAGCATTGGTCACTCTTATGGAAGGAACCTGCATATAGGAGTGGACAGCTCCTGATCCTTTTAGATTAGTGTTTTTCAAACTTGGCAACTTAAAAGATGCGTGCGCTGCAACACGCAGAATTCCCCAGCCAGCATGCAGTGGCTTTCAAGTATGCATTTTAAAGCTGCTTTAGATCAGCCATCTCACCAAGCTCATGAGTCTTCAAGAACAACAGCTTGAATTATAAAAAATTTCTGGTGGAAAGCAACATTAGAAGGGCCTATCCACATCACAAGTTTTATTAGATAATGTCTTTTTTTTATATGCCCAGCCCACTCTGCATAAATCCATGTGGATTAGGCTGCATATTTATGCTTTTATATATTTTGTGTGGTTATTAAATGCTTTCTTGATTTATGTACTGCATTATATCTATTAGCTAGGCATAAATTACCTCGTATGTGTACAGGGACAGCAGGTGGTCCTCCATTTATCTCCAGGCTGAAAATAAAAACCAACTTTTAAGCTAGGATGCTGATAATTGCTAAGCCCCTCTGTAAAGTACTTTCACTAAAGTCCTGAAACCATTATTAAATAATGTAGTTTGAGAATTCTGTCAACCATTCTTTTTTTCCCCTGCTTAACAGTTAAACCTAATATAACCATTCTGTGTTTCTGAACTGGTATGTTTACTTTCATTGAACTTCTCCATTATCTATAATCTGATTCAGCTGACAGTGATGCCGCAATAAACATAACAGGCTTCAGGAGTCTTGTTTTGATTAGTTGGCTAGTCTCCTTAAATTTGACAATGATTACATGATAGCAAGTTTATGAATCCATGACATTATAAACATTCACAGTATTTATAGAAATATTTAACATCAGTCCTGATGTAAGATCTCAGGCTTTCTAGTATTCTGTGCTTAATAAGATATGTATATTAAACTGTGAATTAAACTGAACTGCTATTCAGTAACATTTAATTAAAATTAATTAAAACTACCACAATTTCCTAATTCAAGACAATTATGAAAACACAAATAGCATTTTGAAAATGCTATAAAATGCTACGAATTATCTATAATCTGATTCAGCTGACAGTGATGCCGCAATAAACATACAGGCTTCAGGAGTCTTGTTTTGATTAGTTGGCTAATCTTCTCCTTAAATTTGACAATGATTACATGATAGCAAGTTTATGAATCCATGACATTATAAACATTCACAGTATTTATAGAAATATTTAACATCAGTCCTGATGTAAGATCTCAGGCTTTCTAGTATTCTGTGCTTAATAAGATATGTATATTAAACTGTGAATTAAACTGAACTGCTGTTCAGTAACATTTAATTAAAATTAATTAAAACTACCACAATTTCCTAATAAGTTCAAGACAATTATGAAAACACAAATAGCATTTAAAATGTTACAAAATGCTACAAAACCCAAAAGGACTACACAGCAAATAGAAAAAGAAAATATGTTGTGGAATCCAGTAAATTCAGCATGTTCTTCTCTCAGGTAATCATGAAAGGCTTTATACTTGAAACATGCTTTCTAAAACATTTAAAGGTAATCTTGCAAAAATCCAAGTGTTCTTGTTCTGGAATAAAGTCCTACTTCCAGCCAGAAATAGACTTTCACCAAGTTTGTATCAGGGCATTCATTGTATATAAATAAAAATCTTTCATTTTCTCAGGCTTGGAGTAAAGTCTCAAGCCTCCATATTTTGAATGTTTATTTCCCAAACATCCATGTGATTCATCCTTTCAAATAGAAATATATTTTATTCTAAAACTGATGTGCACAGTATTTGGAAACTTCACTACAATTTTAAATACTGTTCATACCTGAGAGATGGGAGCCCAACTTTTTTCTGTCTCCTAAATTCATTTACAAAATCCGAATTTATTTTTGCATCTTTGCTGAGATTTATTATTAGCCTCTTGAACAATTTGGGCTTATTCCTACATTGCACCAATAGATGGCGATATGCAGTTCTGTTAAAAGTTAGATAGCCAAGAGCACATGCCACAGCTGAACGAACCTAGAAAAGATATCCACATTATAGAAGTGCAGTTTATTAATTTTGTTTAGGATCAGTGAATCAGATTATTTTACAGTAAGCAACAAAGCAAGGGAACTATGAAAACTAAAATAAAAGCTCTGGATTGTCCGGGATGAGTTTGATATCTGAAAATCACAGTCTAAAGGTACTAGAGCCACTACTAACAGGTCCAAGAAAGCAAAAATAACTAAGAGCTCAAGAGTGAAATGAACATATAATAGTACAAGACAAAACAGTGTTACATGATGTGGTCAGTGGTGGGATTCAAATAATTTAACAAGCGGTTCTCTGCTCTAATGATTTCTTCCAACAACCAATTCACCAAACTGCTCAAAGTTAACAACTGGTTCTCCCAAAGTGGTGCAAACTGGCTGAATCCCACCACTGGATGTGGTGCTCCATTCACATCAAGTGGGGAGGGAGAGATTCTGGTCTCTAATGAACGGTAAGAAAACTTATCAGAATTTTAAATTCCTACCTCCTCTTCCTTTGCATATAAATGATAACAAAGACGTTGGACAGTCCCCAGGCTTGTGATTGCTTCTGGAATGCCTGCCCTTGTGTGGGCCAAGCTGGCTAATAATTTTCCTAGGGATGGGGAGATGGAATTAAAACATAAGTATTTGTAAATTGTGCATATAAATTATATCCAACACAATTCAGTACAACTAGAACTTGCAAAGTATCAGACCAGAATTTTTCAAACTGTGAGCCAGAATGCCCTATCATGGGGTAACATGCCACTTAAAATGGATTTGGTTTTTATTTTTTGAAAACCTTGCCTAGCGCAGACAGAATAGAAGACTGAAAATATCATTTGGGCTTTGCTTCTGTCTGCCTACATTAGCCTAGTGGACATTTGTGGAACCTGTAAGATATAGATTAACATTAAATTATCAAAAGTAGCGTTTTTATTTGATGCTCCACTTTAATCTCAATACTCATGGAAATTATACACATTCAGTTATCATTTTATGGAGCTCCAGCATTGCAAAATCTGAAAAATTCTGTTATCAGTCAATTGTGATTTCTTAAAATATTTTAATGAAACAAGCCTTTTAATATACTATTATATTAAAGTATAGTATATACTACTATATACTTTTAATATACTATAAATTATGAAAAATAATTTTCATTATTTTTGTTTCTCTTCTTTTGGTATGCTCAGCCAGGTGAAATGTTAAGTATGTGTGAATTCAATTAGCCACTTCTACAGGTAGAGAAGTGCATAGATATGTCTATGAAGGATTCAAACTGAAATTGACCAAAATATTTATTAAAATCTTTGCTTATTTCAGAGATATTTTCCAGAAAATTGTGATGTAAACTCTAGTGGATTATCAGCCATATCATTACTTCAGTGATATAGCTTAGGCACCAGGAAAGCAAATTGGCTTATATTTATATGTAGGCTTTGTTTCAAAATAATAGAAGCAAATATTAATCCGGACCATTGTTACATCACAATATTTATTTATTTATTTATTTGATTTTTTTTTATCTTGCCTTTATTATTTTTATAAGTAAGGTAATGAACATATCTAATGATCTTATTTTCCCCATAACAACTACCTTCTGAGGTGGGCTGGACTGAGAAAAAGTGACTGGCCCAAAATCACTCACCCAATTGGCATTCATGCCTAAGGAGGAATGAAAACAGTGTCCTGGTTTCTAAGCCAGCATTTTAACACCGACTGTCTATTTTAAATATATTTTTATTGTTTTTATAATTTTGTTAGTATATTCCAATTAACTATGTCAGATGTAAATGCCTTATTCTCCAATGTGTAAATAATGTATATAGAACATCAGAGGTTAACTTATTCTTTGGACTTTAATGTATTCATAACTTACCACTCCCATTCCTAGCTCCACCCCTTGTATATATAAGGAGCCACCCTCACCATTCTTGCTGCTTCTACCTTGAATATTCAGTGAATATAGAATGCCTATCATAATTAAAAAGAAATATATTTAAAGCTCTAACTCCTATTATCTTTATTGAGTCTGATCCTGAAAATATTGCAACAAGCTGGTAGCAGAGGATGGTTAATTGACTCAATAAGTAATTAAAAATGTCAAAGAAAGATAGGCCCAACACCAGGGCCTACAGCAAAGAAATAGAAACTGATCAAGAGATGATCAACGAATCCACCAATGCGATTTCGAGAGAATCCGAAGAATACACCACTGAAGAAGAAGAACTAATGAGTGAAAATAATGACCAGAAAGAAATCGAAATAGAAAATTTACTATTCTTTATAACTAGCCCTCCAAGAAGACCTTGGACTTTAAAAATAGATTGTTTACATCATAGAGCATTTTTCATAATAATATCTAGCGTGTCTCCTGCAATGTATCATAGCATCAAACCAAACCTAACTGTATCAGAAATAATTCAATGCATGTTTAATCTATTTCACAGCGATAGCGTAGCTACAACCACAAGAATGTCTAAGGATTTCTTTTCCTCTAGAGTAAAACCAGGGGTTTCTATAAGTGAGCATTTGATAAATCTAAACAAAATAAGAGCTGAGCTACAATTGAGGGGGGAAGTGATTTCAGATCAAACAATGAAAAGTGTTATTATCAATTCACTTGATCCATCATGGGATAGCTTTATGTCACACTTAGATACCATTAATTTGGGATATTTATCCATAGAAAGTCTATCTAACAAATTGATAGCAGAAGACAATTCAAGAAAAAATCGATCCAGTAACCAAACAGACCACAAACCTTTTAGGAAAGTAGTCTTTCAAGATAAACATAATGAGGCCTTTAGATGCTACTTTCAATTGTGGATCCAGGAACATAGTAGAAGAGACTGCCCCAAAGTCTCAAGAGAGAGACATAGGCCAGAATATAGGAGCAAATATAATTACAGACAATCTTCCACAGATAGACACGAATATAGAAGTCCACCAAATTACAAAGAAGGTAGAGGGGGTAGAGAAAATTCAAAAGAGAGGAAATCTGGGTCACTGAATGGGCTAAATAAACAAGACAGCACCAGAAACACAGCAGGATGAGAATAACAATTGGCTTATTGATTCTGGTGCAACAAATCACACCACCAACAACAAAAGTATATTATCTTCATTTATAGAAGATAAGTTTGTGATAAAGGTAGCTAATCAAGAAAAGGTTCAAGTACTAGGCAAAGGAAATGTGACCTTGCCTGGTCTAGGGAAAATAGAGGGGGTATTATTAATCCCAGAAATACCTCACAACATACTAAGTGCCATAAAATTGAGCAGAGAATCTGATATCAATATAGTTTTCTCTCAAAGGGGAAAGCAACTATAGAAAAGAACAAAACAAATGTAGGTACTGTAATGATAAAAGGAGGTCTACCCTATCTGATAACTAAAGAAAGATGTTTACATAACATTGATTCAAATATGGAAGATTGTATTGAAGCAGATGATGAAAATGTCAGTAACAGTGACAATGATGAGTGTAGAATAACTCATGATCACAAAAATACATACAAGGAAAAGAAACCAAAAATAGGTAAACCAATTCATGATGAGTGTGCTCACATCTTACACAGGAAGTTAGGACATGCAAGCTTTCCTGTAGTACAAAAAATGACTGAACACGCAGAAGGTGTCAAAATAAAAAATTGTGAAAATTATTTGGAATGCTCAGTATGTAAATCCACCAAACTAAAACCACCAGTCCCAGACCAAAAAAATCTAACAGATCAACTAACAATATTTTGATTTGGTACATATGGACTTAGTTGGTCCATTAAGTCCCTCAATTACCTATAGAAAACGTTACTTCCTAACAATAGTGGATGACTACAGCCGATATGGTTTTGTTTACACATTAAAGCACAAGGATGAAACATTTCAGAAATTTAAGGAATTCTACAAACGTATAGAAACACAACATAATATCAGAATAAAGCAAATTATGACAGATAGGGGATGTGAGTTCATGTCTAAAGAATTCTCCCAATGGTTAAAGGATAGAGGAATGTTACATTTCACGTCCAATCCTTTTTCTGCATTTCAAAATGGAGTTGCAGAGAGGAAAAATTCCACACTACAAACCATGATTAGGTGCACATTAGAGGATGCTGGTTTAGGCAAACAATTTTGGTCAGAGGCATTACATTATTCAAATTACACTCAAAATAGAACCTGGTCCAGTATTGTGAATAAGACACCATATGAGGTGATGTACAATAGAAAACCCAAATTATCACACATGCACATATTTGGAGTCACTGCAGACGTACACATACCTAAACAATTGAGGAGAAAGGGAGAAAACGTATCCAGGAGATTAAGATTCATGGGATACGAAACTGGAACCAAAGGGTACAGATTTATTGATAGTAATAACAAATTTATAGTATCCAGAACAGCTGTGTTCCATGAACAGGCCAATTGGTCAAAATTGCACCTTAATGAAATATTTCCTAATAAATGTAAAGATACGATATCTTGCGAGGAAGGAACAACAGAAAATCAAAATATTAACAAAAGTAAGAACAAAACCAAAACTTGGACTAATAGTCAGCATAAAATAAAGACAGACACATTAACAAAAAAGGAAGCTAGATATTTGCATGATAACCATAGCAAGCCTGAAAGAACTATTAGAAACAATAGAAACCAAATACCAAATAAATACAAAGATTACATAATGCATATGAATGGAGAACAAATAACACCTAATACATATGAAGAAGTATTGAAACTTCCACATGAAGAAAGAGAAAAATGGGAACTAGCTATGGAAAAAGAGATGGAAAGTTTACAAGGATTAAATGTATTCACACCTGCGATCGCACCTAAGGATAAAACAATTATAGGTACCAGGGATTTATAAAATTAAGAACTTAGAAGGAGGCAATACCTTATACAAGGCTAGACTAGTTGCACAAGGCTATGCACAAAAATACCCAGAAGACTATACTGATACATATTCACCCACAGTGAGAACAGAGAGTGTCAAAACAGCCCTTGTAGTAGCATCTGCACTCAATCTGGACGTATTCCAATATGACATACAGACCGCATACTTACATGCAAAATTAGATAAGGAAATATATGTAAGAGCACCACACAGTCAATACACTAATAAGAACGAAATTTGGTTATTAAATAAGAGTCTGTACGGATTAAAGCAATCCGGCAAAAGATGGTACGATTGCTTGGTAAAAGTACTTAAGACCATGGATTTCAACGCCACCACTGCTGATAACTGTTTCTTTGTAAAAAAGAGTAATGATCATATTGAATTTGTATTAATTTACGTGGACGATATTTTATACATTGGAAAGCATAAAGAGAGCAGGGAAATCTTTGTAAATAAGTTAAATGAACACTTCTCACTGAAATCTCTGGGTAAAGTGAATAAATACCTTGGTGTGCAAATTAACAAAACTAAAAGGGGATTCAAACTTACACAGAAAGATAAAATCATCGAACTCCTAAACAAATGTAACTTAAATAATGCCAAAACCTGTGACACCCCCTATGCAAACTGATTTTCTTAGAAACACTGATGAATCTTCCCCTGAGTTAAAGACAACACATTTTACAGATCAGTTATAGGTTCACTCCTTTATATATCTAATTGGACTAGGCCAGATATTGCATTACCTCTCAATCTACTGTCAAGATATGTTAGTAAACCAACCTTGTATCATTGGGAAGCTGTCAAAAGAATTCTAAGATATCTGAAGGGTACATTAGATTTTTGTTTAATGTTGGAACCCAATAATGACAGAGAACCAAAAATTACTTGTTATGCTGATGCAGATTGGGCTGGTGATACATCATGCAGAAAGAGTACTTCTGGTTATGTTTTTCTATTGAATGATTGTCCAGTTTACTGGTATACTGGTAAACAAGAACTAGTAGCCACTTCTACTACAGAAGCGGAATATGTTTGTTTGTCCAAGGCTGCAAATAACCTTGTATGGTTCAATGATCTGATCACTGATGTTTGGAAGAAACCCACTTTACCATTTATTATGCATGAAGACAATAAAGCGGCCATTGAAATATCCAGATCCGATGCAATTGGACAAAGGTCCAGGCATATTGATATAAAGTTTAAGCATGTGAGACAACTGTCTCAAGACGGATTCATTAAAGCAATACATTGCGATACTTCTGAACAATTAGCTGACATATTAACAAAACCCTTACCTTTCTAAGCAACACAAATATTTAACTTCTAAATTATATGTATTATATTGTCCTGAATCAGAATGTAATTGGTGTTGTGTAACGAACCGGCATTTAGAGGGGGATTTGTCAGATGTAAATGCCTTATTCTCCAATGTGTAAATAATGTATATATGGAACATCAGAGGTTAACTTATTCTTTGGACTTTAATGTATTCATAACTTACCACTCCCATTCCTAGCTCCACCCCTTGTATATATAAGGAGCCACCCTCACCATTCTTGCTGCTTCTACCTTGAATATTCAGTGAATATAGAATGCCTATCATAATTAAAAAGAAATATATTTAAAGCTCAACTCCTATTATCTTTATTGAGTCTGATCCTGAAAATATTGCAACAAACTATTTTCTATTAACTGCCTGAAGAATCATAAATTAATCTCTTTCACCACCATCCCTTTTCTCCTAGGAATTCTCCCCTCCCCTGAAGTTGCTGACCATCAAGATAGTATGTTTTGTTGTTGTTAGTTGTGTAGTTGTGTCCGACCCATTGCGACCTCATGGACAACGTTCCTCCAGGCCTTCCTGTCCTCTACCATCCCCCAGAGTCCATTCACGCCGACTGCTTCAGTGACTCCATCCAGCCACCTAATTCTCTGCTGTCCCTTTTCTTTTGCCCTCAATCGTTCCCAGCATTAGGCTCTTCTCCAGTGAGTCCTTCCTTCTCATTAGATGGCCAAAGTATTTTAGCATGCTTTACATCCTATCTAATATAGTCTAGATAAGTGTTTCTTAAACTTTTTCTTTTCAGGATTCTTCCTCAGATTTAAAAATTATGGCAGTACCAAAAGAGTTTTGTTTGTAGGGTTATATTTACTGATAACCATATTAAAAATTAAAATGGATGTCCTCATTGCTGATACTGCTTCTCATGATTGCTTGACTGATTTTAATATGGTATTATTTTTCAACATAGGCTAGCAAATAACTTTGATCTGGGGATCCTGACAGGATGTTGGAAACCTCCAAGGCTCCCAGAACCATACTTTAAGAAACACTGGCCTGGATGGTGATCTAATTTCTCCTTCCTTTCATACTTCTTTCAAAGTTAATGTGGACTGATGCCTTTTTCTGTATATATGAACATAATCATGTGAAGCCTTCTGAGACTGTTTAAGAAGGATACAGGGACTACTTTAGCAGTAGCACTTAGACTTATATACCATTTCATGGTGCTTTACAACCCTCTCTGAGCCATTTACAGAATCAGCATATTACCCCAGCAATCTGATTCCTCATTTTATCGATCTCAGACTGATGGTAGGCTAAGTCAACTTAGAACCAGTCAGGATCAAACTGCTGGCAATACTGCAATACTGCATTCTAACCAATGTGCCACCATAGATTAGCCCTATTTCCTTCATTAAATCTTCACTCTTAGGCACTGCGTTATAGTTAATAACAGTTTGTCACTACAGTGATACTGCACAGTATTTTAGTATTTTATATACATTTCCCCTTTTATAGCATTAGTTACCTGTTAACACTAAAGTGGCTGATTTTTCTGAACATAGTAGGTCAACCAAGGTAGAAATTCCTTTTGCAGACAAACTAACTTGATCCATATCAATTATAATTTTTGCTAGTACTACAATCTGAAATAGAAAATACTTTTTGACACAACAGATAAAACAGGCTGCAATTTTTTCATTTCTTATTTTTCACAATATAATAGTCTAAACATTTTAGTTACAATATTAAATACACACAATACTGAGAATTTTATAATTACAAAATCATAGTAGTAGAAAAAATATTTGCATTAGTTAAGGTTTTAGGTAAAGCATTTTATATTATCATCATCATTCCCTTCCTCATTTTGGTTTTTTGGAACATTGCCATATTCATTATGCTTCAAATTTAAACATACTTACCTTTCACTAAATTTCACATAATTTAGTCAATTTTAATTCTATATAGACTTGCAGAAGATTGCAGCAAAACAAGACAAAAGCCCACAATTCTAGCAAAAGGGCTCAAAGTATCCAATAATACCTAAGAACAAACCAGGAATAGGGAACAAAATAGGCAAAATGTTTTCAAAACATTAATTAATCTCCTAGAAATATCTGAAGAAGTTTGAATCAGCCATCAAACTCCTCAAAGATTTCCTGGAAAATTAAGATTTTAACAGACCAACAAAAAGTAGAAACGAGCCCCATCAGAAAAGGTGTAGAGTGTTTTTCAAAACATTTGTACAATGACAGAAAAGCCATTGCTTTTCATCTTATCTAGCTACTCCACTTTCTACAGCAGACCATTAAAAAAGAAGGGCCCATCCCAGATCAATGCTTCACACAGCCCATCAATTTAGCCTGCCTCAATCTGTGGAAAGCCTTCCATTACATAAATTTATTTTAGGAAAGCTTTCTACATCATCGCCAGTCATTAGCCAGATTTGTGGGAACTGATGGGAATTATGAGTCTGAAATTTCCAGAGAAAGCATTTGGAAAATCTGGTCATAATATTTCCATATTCGGGTGTTAAGGAAATCTACTTTTTGGGGATTCCAGTAGAATCTTCCCAGCAGGGAATTTCAAGTTCTATGTTGCAAACTACATTCTTCCAAAGTGCTTATTATTAATTAATTGTGCAGGAATAATTCTGAACCAACTATTCATGCAATACCTAGTCTTGTACCTGAAAGGCAGCCATTGCTCTATCTGTCTCGACATCTGAGCCTAGAAGAGGTTCAAATACATGGATTGATATGGGTCCAGCCTCTAAAATCAGTACCTGCTGAGTAGGATTATTGTAAGCAAAAACTGCAATAGCATATCCTGCTCGTAAACGGATCTCCTTAAAAGAATAAGAAAATAGTAACATGTAAATGTTGTTCACATTTAGATATTGAGATTTTTCAAACAAACCAAACCACCGTATCTTCTCTGAATTCTAGGAGAGTTAAAAGGATTTAATTTCTTTTTTGCACTATTCATTTAAAGTTTTGATACTCTCTTCTTCATCTGGAAAGACACTCAGGACAGCATAAGTAATTTAGCATTCCTGTCTTCAGAATTACAAGATATAACAGAAAAAGATGGAAGAGAAAAAGAAAAGATAATAACAAGACCTCTAATAAAAGGAAAAGGTGATGCTGTCAGAATGAATCCTATCTGTTATCAAATGTTATTAAATTGGCAAGAGGATATCTATGTATATAAAATGTGTATAGTTACTTCCAATACATGTGGATATTTAATTGTCACCAGTTAACAGATTGCATACACATTTCATTATTTACTTAAGTGACAAAGTTTTTTTTTTCCACATGGAAGTGGGCCACATGGACATTATACCATTGACCCAGTAAGTTAATTCTGGGTCTAGTAAACAATATTTCCAGGTTTTAGTAGGATTCAATTTATTCTTCCACATTAGCTATATCACCTAAATATTACATCTCAATTAATTATTCTATTTTGCCTAATTAATCATTACTTCAAAACAGCAGGGCTACAAGTCTTGTGCTATAAAATTGGGGATCAGTTTAGGTGCAGAAGAGAGAGAACATTTTATACTTTATTCCCATCTAATGGTTGTGTGGAAATTTGCAGCCCAGATTTTATATTCAAGGAACCTTTATTCATCAAATGCATTTTTTAATTGCTGATTGACTGCAAAACCCAGGCAAACAATTTCTAAACACTTACCGCTAGTAATTATTCCAGTGAGATAAAGCCTTCACTGGAGCTTCTCACATTCAAGTTCTGAATAGATTCACCCACACACTCCTCCACATTTTCATATGTATATAAATGACAATATTTCAGTTAGAGATTTAGCTATGACATACAACAAACCAGGTATCCCTCTAGGAAAGATGCCAGAGGGTCCAATGCAGAGGTGAAATGCTCCTGGACTGGATCGGACTGGATTGGCCGGTCCGGTAGCAATCTTGGCTGTTGGTTCGGCGATCTGGTAGTGATGGCGGAGCAAAGCTCCGCCCACCCACCTGGGTGTCATTACTTCCTGGTTTTAAGCATGAAGTAATGTGTTTTTTACCTTCTGCATGTGCAGAAGGTCTATATGCGCACATGATGTGCACAGTGCACGCATTTCTGAACCAGTAAGGAAGGTAAGTAGATTTCACCCCTGGTCCAATGCTTCCCTAGAACAGGTTATCCATTGATGTCAGCCCTAGCCATTATCTGTTTTAATACCTAGTAGAGAGTACCTGTACCAACAATGATGATATCCAGCCATGTTATCATCTATTGGCGGGGGGGTGGTGGAGGGGAGGGAATAAAATCATCCTCATTCACACAAGGTGGCAAGCACACAGCAGGAGTGTTGCATCTTTCCTACCTGATGTAAGTCTCACAGGCACACCACAGCATTATCAGTACTAGAGTGTAAAGACAACCCAAATCTCCAGAAATACTCATTCTTGATACCAGTATGTCCCAGTCCACATTCAAGTGTAAGAAAGCACTAGATTGTGGAGGGAGAGGTTGCGAGAATTCAGCCTCATTGTTTTGGATCACATCTAACTCATCATTGCTTTCAGACATTTGTTAGATGTTTTGAAGAAGTAGAGCTTGGTGTTATCAGCATATTGATAGTATCACATGTCCAAGCTCCTGATGGCCATTTCAGCAGCATTGTATAGATATTAAAGTGGGATAACTAGTTCATCTGCCATTCTCAGATGGCCCATCAATCACCTGTAGATCTCTCTAGCAAGCATTCTTCTTCCACTCCTGATGCAATTAACCAGTGGAACTTCTTGCCTCCAGAAGTTGTAGGGGCTCCATCACTGTAGGTTTTTAGGATGAGATTGGACAACCATTTGTCTGGAATGGTATAGGGTCTCCTGCTTGAGCAGGGGGTTGGACTAGAAGACCTCCAAGGTCCTTTCCAACTCTGCTATTCTATAAGTACCTTTTGGCATCCTACAGTAGAACTGCCAGGGTGCCAAGGCTCCGTCATCCGATATTACTCTCTAAAAATTTCCCTGCAAGTCTGAGTAGCATCACAGTAAGACTGTGTCTTCAAAGTGCATTTCATGGAAGTTATTCAAAAGGATAATTGATGAAAGATCCACAAACTTCAGAAGAATCCTACTTCCTTTATCCCTTTTCCGCAAAATGTCATCTACTAGTGTCAACAGAGCCAATTCTGTCCCTTATCAAAAGTAGAAGTGGGTATTTTGTGGTTTGAGTTAACTCTAACCATTTTTGTGCATCCTCAAAATTCCAAATTTACCCGCAGCCCTAGATGCTGAAGATTCTTAATTTATTATTTGATTTTATAATTTGAATACCAAATATTTTACCTTATCTGGTGCATGAAAAAGTTTAAGGACATCCAAATAACAAAAACCTTCTTTGTCTTGTAATACAGTCTGCAGAGCGCTATTCTTTAGAACAATACAAGCCAAAGAAAATGCAACTTCAACCTAAAGATTAATTAGAATTGAAAAAATTAAAACTTGAATTATAATACCTTGTAAGGCATGAAAAGAATTGTTATGGCTTCAGGAAATCTACCTTTGGTGCCTAAGAATATTTTCTCCAGGAAAGGAAAGTTCCTCTTTCTCTTTCTTTTTCACAGCAAAAAATAATAATATATTTTTTTAATATATCTTTGTTGCTATTTAATGGTTGCCCAGAGTTTTGCAGCTCAGATCTGGTGCTGTAACCCTATCAGAATGTGACGTCTACATTTTTTTTCTCAACCTTTTATATCATTACATTTTAGAAGAAAATAACAAAAGGAATTACACTATATAGGCATGAAGCATATCATAAAACTTAAAATTAAAAGCAAAAACCTTTCTATGAGTTTAAAGTGTTTTCTTCTTTTCAAATCCCCAAATCTGTGGGTTTTTCTCCTGTTCTGTTTATCCTAAATGTCATGCAAACCGTTCCAACTACTGTAACAAAGTGTACATGCATAGAAGAAAAATACACAGGCACAAATATTGTAGCAACCTTTCTTATCTGTGCAAATAACAAATACATCTCACTGAATATTCTAATATCCTTAGGAAAACCTCAGGATCTAATAATCTTTAATATTCCTTCTCTTTGTGCATCTATATAAGTGCCAGTGTGATTTATGATTCTAGTGCTGGGGTGAAATAGAGCAGGGGTCTCCAACCTTGGCAAATTTAAGACTTGTGGACTTCAACTTGTGGACTTCAATTTATATTGGCATATAAATCAAATTAAAAAAAAAAAAAACTCCCAGAGTTCCTCAGCCAACTTTGCTGGCTGAAGAACTCTGGGAGTTGAAGTCCACAAGTCTTAAAGTTGCCAAGGTTGGAGACCCCTGAAATAGAGGGCCCACTAAGCCAGGATTGATCATAGTCTTGATCTATTCTAGGCTTTCAAAGCTAGCTAATTCTATGAAACTCTCTCTCAAGGTCATTGTGTCATTAGGATATGACTATCCACTTCTGCTCCCAGGAAGTCAGCTACTTTACTGGTTGTAAAGGCACTGCCCACTTGATTTTAGTTGTTTTTATGGTAACTATGTATATTTCATCCCCTAACTTCATTCCTACACACTGAAATAATATTAATGTATTATCCATTATATTATCCATATTTTAATTAATGCTGATATTATGGCAAAATCAAATACAAAGTCAAGATTGAAGTTCTATTATCTAATGTGATAGGCTTTTTATCAGCAGCTAGAGCAGCTAGGGCTGTCAAAGTTGCGGCCCACAGGCCACATACGTCACACACTGGTTACGCCCATGCGTGGTTTAGCGAAGCGGAAAAAAGTCACAATACATCACATGACGACATAACAACGTGAGTTTGGCGCCCCTGAGCTAGAGTCTTCAACATTCTGCAAATGTTTATATTATTCAATGAAGCAAAATTATCAAAGTCATTCAAGAACTATAGCTAGTCCTAGTTTAGTGACCACAATTGGAATCGGCAACTTGGTGGTTATGAGAAGTAGTCACTAAGTGAAACTATAACTATGTTTATATTTTTAGTTCAGCTTTCCTTTGCTTTATAGATCAGTGAAGGTTGTAAATGTGGGGAGTGATCGTAAAGTTATTTTTTTCAGCACCATTGTAACTGAACAGTCGCTATCCGAGGCACTTGATAAATGAAGACTCTCTAGTTTAGAGCTGTATGATAAATATTTAAAACCCACCTTTATCTGAAGGGATGGATGAGTTTTAAGTAAATGAACAAGTATTGGCAAGGCCCCTTCATCCACTACATTCTCTTGACTAACTGGATTGCTTATATGAGCTTCACCTAGACGTTTGATATCAGGCAAAGAGATCCATACCAAATATCCATACAAATAAAAGAAAGGTAGGGAAGGAAAGTTAGCACAAACAAAATATGACCCCTTAACTGTTCTTTACTTTTAAGCAAACATATGCTAAATGCTGTAGCTCAAATCAATGGAAAGTCCTCATGAAGCAAAACTTAGCAAAGCCTTGTGGGTCCAGAAATGAGGCATGTTTTTCTGTCCAAGTATAAACAATATATAAGAGAGCCAATTTGGTGTAGTGGCTAAAGCACCAGGCTAGAAAGTGGAAAACTGGGAGTTCTAGCCCCACTTTAGGTACCAAGCCAGCAAGGTTAATTTGGGGCTGTCACTCCCTCTCAGCCCTAGGAAGAGGGCAAGGGCAAACCACTTCTAAAAAAAAACCTTGCCAAGAAAACTGGCAGGATTTGCCCAGGCAGTTGTTATGAATCAAAATTGGCACGAAGATAAATAAATAAAATCTAACAACTCCCCAAATTAGGAAACATAATCTTGTGAGAAGTAGAATTAGGATTACTTTTAAAGTTTTAAAATGCTAGATGAAGAGGTTTTTAAATTCCCAGACATTAAAAAATATTTTAGGATGTTTAGAATTTACCATTATTTTACTACTGATTTTAGTATGTCATTATCATCAGTTGCATTGATTTTACCTCACAAAGGATCAGGTAGAAGATTAAGGATGAGTCTGCAGCTGACATCTATACAGTACAGTACTGTCAGAGTATTGTATTCTGTACTGAGGTAGAAGGATATATGGACTGACTAATCTGATTTAAAGCAATATTGTATATTCCGAAGATATCAATGGAAATGATTGTATTGTCTATTCTTGGATAAGGTCTTCTAGAAAAACTGGGACTAAAAATAAGTTGCTCGCATTAATTTCATACCATCTGTTCTGATGATTTCTTTAGACTTACTTAAAAAAAAAAAAACATCTCACCAAGCCAATTATAGCCTCAAAAGCTTATACCAGGAAATTCAGAAAAAGAATGAACTAAATCCTGATTGGGCAATAGTTGGCTTTGTGAGTCACAAAGTATGTAGATGTAGGATTGTAGCTTATTGATAATGCATCTGTTTTATGAAGAGGGCTGCCATATAATAGGGAAATGGATTGCTGCAGCTCTCAAACCTGTCCAATATTGTATAATATTAAGACTACTCTTTCCTAGGCCCTTCCATGGTTCTTACTCAAAAGCTTTATACTTTGGAAGCAAGAGAAAAGGAACGACAGACCAATACACATTGTGCCTAAGGCTTTGATCACACTGAGGAGGGTGCCTTCTGCTATCCTTCCACTTCTTAACAGCCGGACCAAAGGGGCGATTCCATTCCCTTCGCATATTTGGTTCTGGTGAATTTCACTGTCCTTGCTAAGAGCTATGACAGCTTCTCCTCCTTCCAAAACAACAAAAGTAACAAACACATTTAAGAATATTTGAACTCCTGTATGAGTTTGTGCCTGTGATTGCAGAACAACAGTGACTTACCAACACACTGCATTTTATCAGATGGTGATAGAAGCATGTCTATAATTAAATTGTATCCAATCTGTTCTGCCATGAATTTCTGCTGCTTCAGGGTTTGTCCGGCTAGGGCCCAGAGGGTTACAGCCCCTTGTTCTTTCACCTTCAAGTGAAAGGCCTGGAAGTTGAAGCAAAATGAGAAAGCTACAGTATATATGAAAGCTTACGAACATAAGCATATCTACTCTATAGGAAGAGTATTGATGCTTTTGAACTTTGCTGTTGAAGAAGACTCCTGATAATACCATGGAGAGCCAAGAAAACTAGCCTATGGACCATTAAACAAACCAATCCAGATCTCACTTGAGGCACAAATCACCAGGCTGAAATTATCCTACTTTAAAGCCTTTATGTGAAGGCCCAGCTTTCTGGAGAAGACTTTAATTTGCGGAAAGATGAAAGGAAAGAAAAGGACCACAGCAGCCAGGCGGGTGAACTCAGTTATTGTTGGGAGACCTGAAGGACCAGGTTAGGGACAGGTAGTCATGGGAAAGTCTAAAAATGTAGTCTCTAAGAATTGACAGTACTTGATGGCACATTGTCATCATCATCATCATGTCATCATCATCCCTTATAGAATGACTTGGGTAAGACAACCCACTAAAAAAATGAAACACTTGCCTTCAGGAGCTTCAGAAGGAACTTGGTCACAGATCTGGATAGAAATCTCATCTGGATAATAGTGTTCCCTTCACAGAGTGCCTCAATTGCTGTTGCTCCTTTAACCTGGACACCGATTTTCCTTCCTCTGAGAAGTTGAATTAGAGGATCAATAACATTTGCTGCCACGATAGCATTCTGCATTTCCATATTCCCACGACAAATTTCTGCAATTACTGCTGAGGCCACTGCCACCAAGATATCTTTAAGCAGAAAGAAATACAGGAATAAAAGCCAGATATGTGTAGAATCTGCTTTAATCTTTTAATGATTCTCATTACTTATAGTATTAATGACAATTTACAGGTTGAATATTTCCTTTTGAATGATTTTTTAAACTTCTCTGACCAATGATAAATCACCTCAAATTCATCAATGAATTCTGAAATGGTAATCACTATTATACCTATAGTTTTGAAATAATCATTTACTGTATACCCTTCATGTTATCTTCCCAGTTTAAAACAAGAAGCTATAGCAGGTTATCCTCTTTATATTGGTATTGATGTGCCAGGAGTATATGTTTTCAATGTTCATGGAAAAATTATGAAATATTATAATATACCTAAATAAGAGGCATAAACTAGAGATGTTAGATTTTTAAAATATTAGGGTGTATCCTCTTATTTTATTCTTTATTATATCTATTTCCTGACTAAAAGTTAAAATGCTTGACAAAGACTTGTTGCTGTACTTAGATAATGATGTTACACTTTTTGCCCTTCAAAGTATTAAAGTCAGTTTTCTAGCACTTGTAAAGCAAGATATTCCTTAATGTGTCATACAAATGAAGGACAGAACCAGGAATGAGAAGGGAAAAGTTTCCTAGTAAATGTATTTACTCCCTTTGGCACTGAGACTTCTAAGTCTGCATTTTATTGTTGAGTCTAATTTTGTCTGTTTATTAGAGAATAGATACTGCTGGTGAAACATATGTCTTCTCCTGCAAGTCCCATCACCCCAGAAGTAAAATGATCTAGAAAGTTGTGATCAGTAAGCTGCGTCATTCCCTTAAAACCGATTAGCCAATTTTACTATTTTTGTTTTTACCTGAATCCGAACGTAAGAACTGGACAAGTGGTTCAATACCAAGCATTTCTTTCACTTTCAGTTGATTCTCTTTATTATTCTTGCATAATACTCGGATACAGCTCATTACATTCACAAGCAGATCTTGTAAGTCATATTGCAAAAGATTGATGAGAGCAGGAATTCCACCCTACATTAAAAAAGTTATAAGGGACATAGGCAAAAGTATAATGAATAAGAACTGAACAATACAATGGGCTGAATCTAACAAAAATCTCAATTTTTCACAGGGTGGAAAGGCAATCTTTCCTAATTTACTCCTTTTCTCCACAGTTCTTGAGATCTCCTGGAACATGGGGTGGGAGGAGTGGGGTTTGTGGTATCTTCCTTAGCCTTGATGGGTCGACGGGATGAAAGGAAGGGAAAAATTCAGTGAGGATCACTCTCCTTTTCTCTACCAACAGAAATATTCCATCAGAACTCTAGCATAATAAAAGTAAAAACCTGGATTCAAGACAATCTGTCATGTTAAATACACTGTAGTTCACAAAACAGAATCCACCTTCAAGATTGCATACTTTCAACTCTTGAGGATCCTTCTCCTTTCCTCCTTCAGCTCATCACATGGCTGCTTTTCAGCACATGGCCATTTTTAAAAAACAAATCAGTGTTTTTGTTGTCCAAAGATGTGATTTAAAAATGTAATATCTCAAGTCAAGCAGAATCCCAATGATCAAGAGTAACCTTAACTACAATTAAAATTAGTTCAAGATGTAGCTCAGCAATCATTAACATTGGGGCAGAAATTCATTTCAGAGACTAGTGTAGAAAGAAAGAATTATACTCAACAGGCATGTTCCTGATTTCTCAAACCCAGTCAACAATAAGTACAACAACAAAAGTCACAGTTGTGGCTGCAATGTGAAAGCAGAACTCAGAATTGGCCAAATCCACTCAGACAGGCCTCTACTTTTATAATACTTGTAAACATCAAACAAGTCTGAATAATGTCACAAATAATAAAAGGTGTGTTCCTTTACCATGGAAAAGCACAATCTTATTCTTCTTATTTAATTAATTTATTAAAGAAGGGTAACCACACAAGTGAACATTTTTTCCCCTGATTAGATTTACCAGTTCAGCGATGATGACTTGATTATTATCCAGCTGGGCAATATCATATAAAAACACTGCACAACGAGACAGCAATTCGGGTTCTTCCATAGACAAGAGTTTAATTAACACGGGAATGCCTCCAGCTTCTACAAAGGCTCTGACAATTAAGTCATGGGTGGAGATGTTACTCAGCACTCCCAGAGTGAGGCACTCCAATTTGATGTCTTCGCTCTTCAACAAGCTGATTAATGAGGGTATGGTACCTGCCACCAAGAACAAAAGCAACCCACAGTTACAGCAATGCAATATGTCGTGAATCTCTCCAAGGTTCTGACTTTCTTAGGAGAGAAGAAAGGTAAATTCCTTTGATTAAGAACTTCTGAGCAACAAAAAAAAAGCAGGGGGAAAATGCAGTGAAATCTGAAGGAGGAATGATTGGCACTGTAGAATGAATATATATATGGATAATGGACTGCAAAATTGGGTGTCTGAATGTTACAGCACATTTTTGTTAGGAATCCTGACTCTTGTGGGATGCTATTTGGTTCTGTCTGAAGCCGTAAAATGGCTTAGACGGCCATTATATAAACTTATGCAGACAAATAAGACCCACAGAATATGCAAATCCTTAAACTTTGCTTGCTATTTTCTTCCTTGCCATTGAACCAAATAAGATAAAAAGCCTTTTATTCTTTTGCCATGGGAAAGCACACAATAAAGTAATCAGCAATATTTTCTCTGTACTTCCCTTTTCTTTTTATTTATCAATGCCCCTCCATTTCAATGAATTAATATTTGTATACGGATATCAATGTCTTGAAATGCATATTTTTATTTTGAAATTTTGCAAATATACAATTTTTCAGATAATTGTTTTAATTAAGTCCTCTGGTAAGTTATTTCCAGAAATATTTTTAATATTTGTATAAACTTTTCCCTAATATAAATTTGTTTTATTGGGAAAGTTATTAAATGTAACATCAGGGTTATCAAAAGCCACTGAAGGCTCTGGGGGAACTAGATGAGCTGTACTTCCTACATTCTTCTTCAGTCAGAGCTCATCTAAGCGCCTCAGTCTCAGATAAAAAGCCCAATTGAAATGGATCCAGATAATATTACACAGGTGTGTCTGCAGCTGTGAAATTATTACCTTTTCCTTTATCTTTTCTAGAAATGAAACGCTTGAGGCTAGACTATTAACTGCAGTGACTTCCCAGGTAAAGGAAGAGTATCTTTTTGGAAAGCTTTGAGAAATGCTTCTTTTAGGCAATTTAGTTGAATCACTTTAAGTGACATTCCCTCTCCCCCCGCCCCCCGTCCATTATTCCTGCCAAGGCTAGGAATTAAATTGTCTAGGAAGATAAAAGGGTCACATGAAGCTCCTTTACATCACCACTTTTATTCGAAGAAAACACCAAATGTGATAGGCCCTGTTTTATGTATGGTTATGGATTCTTGGCCTAGTAGGGCATTTCAGCATGGACAAGTGCTGGACATGGACACTAATTTTAGGTAACCAAAAGTCATGCCATCCATCTCAGGAAGCCAAAATGTTAGACTACAGATAAATAGTGTATTAGAACAGCAACCCCCACCAACTTTGGGGTGCCAGGAACCGGTTCCATAGAGGGCAATTTTTCTACAGACCAGAGGAGCATGGTTTCATGTGCTGCATAGATCGGCCTTTGCTCACTTGCATAGCCTGGTGCCTGGTGGGCCGAGGAACCAGTGCTGGGCCATGGCCCAAGGGTTGGGGACCTCTGTTCTAGAAGACAGAGAAGTTGGCTTGACCTCTTTCACTATGTTCATTATTATTAAAATTAGTTCTAGCAGAAAAAGTGACAAATGGTGCACATCAGTGGTGGGTTTCAAAAATGTTTACTAATTCTTCTGTGGGTGTGGCTTGGTGGGCGTGGCATGGCTTGGTGGGCATGGCTTGGTGGGCGTGGCAGGGGAAGGATAATGTAAAATCTCCATTCCCACCCCACTCCAGGGGAAGGATACTGTAACATCTCCATTCCCTCCCCAATCCAGGGGAAGTTACTGCAAAATCCCCATTTCCTCCCGATCAGCTGGGACTTGGGAGGCAGAGAATAGATGGGGGCAGGGTCAGTCAGAATTTTTACTACCGGTTCTCTGAACTACTCAAAATTTCCGCTACCGGTTCTCCAGAACTGGTCAGAACCTGCTGAAAACCACCTCTGGTGCACATGGTATCTTACCTGCCTGCAATATACATGTCCAGTAATCATCTTTGGCAAGACAAAGTACTTCTAAACACTGTATTGCCATTCGTTTCCTAAAATAGGATTCGCAATTCAGCATACCTGTTAAGATTTTTTAACAATAATTTGTTAACATTTAACGGTTGCACTAAACACGGTCATGCATTTGCCTTAATTCTGGTTTACAACAGTGTTTTTCTTTATAGTCTAACAGGAAAGTTAATGGTAAATACAAGGCTTGCGGTTCTCTTATTGCAGAGATTTTCCAACTGTGGGCTGGATTATAAGCAAATTTGAGGAAGGAATTCACATGGGGAAGGTGTGTTCTGCCAACAAAGCAGCATCATTCTTAAAACTTGCTTCTGCTTTAACTGGACAAACCAGTTTACCCAAGCAAATCCCAAGTAAACTTGACAAGGTCCTACTATAACTTTGGGTTACAAGCCTCACAGCACATGCGCCATCAGCATTCACATCTGCTCTGCCTGAGTAAGCAAGCAGACAGTCAAGGCTTTCCAGAAATCAGAAAAAGATATTGATCTAAAATCAATAGGGAACCAGAAGCAAGGGTAGCTGTATCAAAACCAATAGCCAGATGCAAAAGAGGGGAAGGAAGTTCATCATTGCCAATACATTTTTAGATTTAAATTTGGTTGGTTTATTTATTTCTAAATAAAGGGATTGATTTTATAAATTTGAAAGTATCTATATTTGTTTTCTTTTACATACAGATTCTTTTTCATATTAAAAGTCAGGAATATGTCTATTTCTTGCCCAATCCAAAACCCATTAAGTTTGTTTGTCTGTGAGGGTTACATAAACATATTTATAATTCTAGGGGTCATGGCGCCCACAACTTTGAGAACCCCTGTGTTATTTGATAATATTATACTCCTGTGCTGACACCAATTACTCATGCGTGCTTTCCGCTGTGCCCTCAAAACATTCCTATTCCAGCAGGCCGGCCTGGCCTAACCTCTTTTTAAAACTGTTTTTAAATTTTTTAAATTTTAAATTTGTCTTATAAATTTGGGGTGTTTTAAAGTTTGTTTTCTGGGCCAAATTATTTAATTGTATTTTAATGGTTTTTTAACATTTGTATTATATGTATTTTATCTTTTGGCTGTTCCCCACCCTGAGTCCTTCGGGAGTAGGGCGGAATACAAATTTAATAAATAAATAAATCATAATAATAATCCAAGCTGTTGATCTATCTGCATTTACACTCTTAAGGCACTTCTGCTCTATGGGTCCTGTTAACTGGAGTAAGCTATTTTAAGAAAATTCTGCTAAATCTGGCAACAGCTGGCAAAGAATTCAGCTGGTTTACAGGTCCTCCTGATGGACAATTCCTTTGCAATTGTCCCAACTTTCCTTGGAATTACAGGTCCTCCTGATGGACAATTCCTTTGCAATTGTCCCAACTTTCCTTGGAACATGAGATCCAGAGCTCTGGAGATCATATTGGGAAAGAAGAGAAGGCAACTCCACCTCTCAGCATCCCTAGGCTGCATGGCTTCATCCTGGAAGTGGGTGCCATTTTGGGAGCAGCCACAATTCAAGCACAATTCACCGACTGTTCTGGGAAAGCAGGCCCAAGGTATGTGGGGATTCTGAGGGGTGGGAAGTGAAAGGACACGTTCCATTAAAGTTGTAATTTGTGGACTACCTATATTTATAAAAAGAAAGGCAGGATAAAAATCTAATGAATAAATAATAAAAATATATGTGTGAATGTTTACACACACACCCACACACCCTAAAATTAAAGCTTTAAAGTGCACATATATGCATGCTGATAGCAAGCCTTAAAATTTGTTTTTTTAAAAAAGCTTTCTTGCTGATTTTCTATTCTAACATATTCTAGAGATACCTTTAAAATGGTGTCAGAATAATGCACCTGATTTGTAAGCTAGGGCGAAGAATTTTTACCTCAATTGACTGGCAAAATCATGAACAGCATGCCAGTCAATATATTAAAAAGTGTGTGTGAGAGGGAATCTAAAGCAAAAGTACCTCAAGGAAAGAAAAATATGAAAGAAACCCAAACATATTCTTAGTAGGTTTCAAATCAGCAGCTTCTTTGGGCAAGACAAATATAATAAGCACTCTAGTATTTAGCACTTTTCTCATATGAGACTCTAGAACAGGGGTGTCAAACTTGCAGCGTCACTTTGTCATCACGTGATGTATCGTGACTCTTTCCCCATTCACTAAAACGGGTGTGGGGGTGGCCAGCGTGTGACACATCCAGCCCATGGGTCATGAGTTTGACGCTCCTATTCTAGAAGACCATGACATCCACCGATTCTGTTAAGGAGATGTTCTTGCCTGTGCAAGATAGCCACTATTGAAAGCACAGTGGAAAATGAAGACTACATCCGTGATGGATAAATCATGAATATAGAATGCTATTGTCTGTTCCTGATATCCAAAAAAGGTGGCTTGTATTGACAAGGCAAACTAGAGGTAGAGATAGGTCTTTTGCAACATTATCTTTGTTGACTAGGAACCTCTCACCAACTGCTGTAGAGCCTCTCCAGAATGTTTTTTTTTAATCACATCACCCTCATGTTGTCACCAAAAGAGAGCTTTAGCCATCCAGGAGAAGGGAAGCATGAATCTGGCATATGGATTATGGCTCAGTGATTAAAGATGCTGAGCTTGTCAGATGGAAAGGTGACAGCACGGGTTTGAGACCCAAGCACCCACATGACTGGGTGAGCTCCTGTTACTTGCCTCAGTTCCTGCTAATCTGGTAATTCAAAACAATGTGAAATGTGAGTAGATAAAATAGGTACCACTTTGGTGGGAAAGTAACAGCGTTTCATGTGTCTTGGCTTATAGTCATGCTGGCCATATAATCATGGAAGTGTCTTCAGACAATGCTGGCTCCCTTGGCTAAGAAACAGAGATAAGCACCATCTCCTAGAGTTGAACACAACTGGGCATGGGAAAGCTTTACTTTTTTAATCTCACTCTGAAACTTTTCAGTGATTTAATCAGAAGTACTACAGTATATAGGGTACTTACCAACAAGAGTTTTCCAAACTGGGAGAGCAGGGTTATTTAACTCAATTAGATGCTTCAAAACCTCTGTGTGGAAGTTCAGTGCAGCCAAATGTATTATGTTATTCCCTTCACCGTCTTTTTTTAGCCAGTCAGCATTAAGAAAAAACAAATACTTGATACTATCTAGTGCTCCAGATACAGCTGCAAGCAAAAGTGGTGTGGAATGATATCTATTGACAGAAAAAGAACAAAATACTGTGGTATGAAACAAACTGAACCAAATGGAAAGGAATACACTGAATTTTATTTCATGTACAGGTATTCCTTGATTTAGGACGAGTTGCTTAGCAATCATTCAAAGTTATGATGGGCTCCCCCGAGGTACTTATCAGAGGTGGGATTCAGCCAGTTCTGTCCAGTATGGACGAACCAATAGTGGCGACTGTGGGAGGTTCCACCCACCCGCCCGCCCGGACATAATGCGCGAGCTCTCACATTTGCGAAACAGTAGGAAAGGTAAGTGAATCCCACCTCTGGTACTTATGACCCAGTTCCAAAGTTCTAATGGCTGCACAAAGAAGCTAGCCTGCATTTACAGCCATTTGCCGTGTCCTCCAGTCATGTGACTGCATTTTACCACATTTTTGTTGAAAACGATTGTTTACAAATATATCCCATAATGAACAAGGGGTTCACTTCGTGACCACCATAGTCACTTTACAACCACAGAAAAAAAAAAGGTTGTAAAAACAGGTCTGGTCACATGGTCACTCACATTTATGACCATCATGATTTAGGACTGTCACGGGCAAGCTCCATTACAGCCATTAAGCTGTGGACTATCTGTACTTCATCTATCAAAAAAACCTCAATGGAAGTCCAAGTAAAGAAACTAAATTTACATGGCACATTAGTATATTGATAAGTAAGCTCTAATGAGGCCTCTGAGACTATGAGATGAGACTCATTTTTCTGGTGAACTATACCAAGACTCAAAGGCAAATATAATCTATATCAGGGATGTCAAATTCAAGGTCCCCAGGCCGGATCCGGCCCACGGGATGCTTAGATCTGTTCCACTGGACTGCTCTGGAAACAGCGAAGGACCGACCTGTGGTGCTTCTGCTAGTGAAAACGGAGCTTGAGAGCTCCATTTTTGCTGGCAGAGGGTTGCAGGAGGCCGTCACAGCTGAAAACGGAGCTTGGGAGACTGTTTTCGCTGGCAGAGCATTCAGACCACCACAAGTGCCCTGACATGAGTGATGTCGAGCTGGCCACACACACCCTGGCCACACACACACACACACCCCGAGGTCAACCCCCAACCCTGATGCATCCCTAAATAAAATTGAGTTTGACACCCCTGACCTATGTCAAGGGTTAGGGGTTTTTAGCCTCCTTAGAAAAAATTCTGTAAGGAGGCTAGCAGAATTTCATATCCTTTTTTAAAAAAATGTCTATTTCTATTTCTGTTTTAATAATATTACATTCCTCTCAGCTGTTCTTCCTAGGATTTATTATTAAAACAAGGTGTTGAGCTAGATAACATTTGCACACAATAAGACATTGGAATTTTGACTCAGGAGTAACCTTATTTGACTTGGTGCTAGCACAGAAGATCTGTGCATATATAGGTAATCCTTGATTAATGACCGCAATTGATCCCAAAATTTCTGTTGCTAAGCGAGACAGTAGTTAAGTGAATTTTGCCACACTTTATGACCTTTCTTGCCACTGTTGTTAAGTGAATCACTGCAATTGTTAGTAACACAGTTATTAAGTGAATCTTGCTTTCCCATTGACTTTGCTTGTCAGAAGGTCGCAAAAGGGGATCACATATCCATGGGACACTGCAACAGTCATAAATATGAACCAGTTGCCAAGCACCTGAATTTTGATCACACCTGGCCATGGGGATGCTGCAACAGTCATAAATGTGAAAACGGTCATAAGTCACTTTTTTCAGTGCCTTTGTAACTTTGAATGGTCACTAAACAAACTGTTGTAAGTCGAGGACTACCTGTATAAGCATATGTATTCATTGACTGGGCCTCACTCTATCTGCCCAGATTCCTTACTATCATGCCTTCGATTGTTGTTCCATGTTTGAGGCCCAGTTGCCAAAATTCTTGCTTCCACCCTCTCCCCATGCCTCTGTTCAGGCTTCCTTTCCACTAAAGCTCCTCTCTGGATCCAATTCAATGTAGGTAACAGCTGACAACCACATCCAATTACTGTATATAGCTGCCCAGAGTCACTTAATTGAGTTGGATAGCTATAAAAATTGAATAAACAAACCGAATACCTCAGGTCTCACTCTGACCTCCCTTCTGGCTTCACAGCAGCCTAGAACCAACCCAATCAGTCCAACCACCCACTCAGCGGTGGGTTTCACAAATTCTTGCCACCAGTTTGCCACGCATGCACACGCTTGCTTTGTGCGCACGCCTTCTGCGCATGCGCCCGGCCTCAAAAACGTGGTTAAATAGGATGGCATTATGCCATGGCGGGGGGGGGGGGGGCAGGTTCGCCAGAACTGGTACGAACTGGCTGAATACCACCTCTGCACCCACTTTTTCTTCATTCTAAACTCTATCAGCTTCCTAAACCCAACAAGAGACATGTCTCTGGTCTCCTCCCACTCCCAACATTCTTTCTGGATACCCCCTTCTGCTTACTCACAGAGATTGAGTTTCCGCCTCTATCAGCTCTGCATCTTTTCTGTAGAGGACTGTAATGCAAGCCACATTGTCATAATAGGCAGCAAAATGGATCGGCAACCATCCTCGGTCATCGGGTATTTGGTAATCTGCTCTTAAAGCCAGAAGGAAATGAAGCGCTTCAAGGGAACCGCACTGGGCTGCTAGATGCAAAGCTGTGGGTCCCCAAGCTGATAGACAACAAGAGGCAAGAGTGACTACTGGCCTTGAGGAAGGAAAGCAAAATCTCTATAGAGTAGAATGATTACGTGCTAGCTATGTATCGGTGCTGTGTTCATCATTTTGTTTTTGTGTAATTAATATTAAAATTATGCTTCCAAAGCTGCATTTGTTATTATTGCTGCTGCTCTTGATATCAGAAAAGCAACACAGGCAGATAAGCCTAAAATGAACTGCATTCCAGCATTTAATAACTCAAAACAAAACAAAAATAAACTTTCTGCAAATGGGGGTCCAAATATAAATGATATATATTTGTAAATTTAGAACTGATGTGTGTCTGATAAAAGTGTAAGAATACTTTAAGGCAGACTTTTCCAGCTGAGAGTTCCACTGGCAAAATAGGGATGACATTCCAAAAAATAGGCAGATGGTGGGACCAGAACAAAATGGAGTCGACATGGAATGGGGACAGGTTGAAAACAAATTTTGATTTCAGAGTGAGAAGACCTGTGGTATTTATTAGTTTTTAACCTTTCCCTGTTCCATGTTGACTACGTTCTGGTCTCAGAATCTGCCTATTTTAATTAAAAAGAGTGAATTTGAATTCATGAAGTATATTTAATGGTTTTCACTTTGCATTGTATAAAACAGAAGATTTCAAGTGGCACTAGGAGCTGTTGCAGCTCTGGTACTCCAGCGTCCTTCTTCTGTTTTATCTTATTCTTACATGTACAATTTGGAAACATATGTACCTCAGGGCCTAATATCTTGTACTTAAAATGCATGGATGATTAGCACCATAATACGCACAAGCAAAAAATCAATGTCAAGATTAACTATGTTTAATTCTTATATGTAATTTCAAAGGGGCAGCTGAGAATAATAATGTTATTAAATTATTTCCTTTGAAATAAATGGATTTGGATTCACATGCTTCATTTGAATGGATTGTACTCAGGATTTCTTGAAATAGAATAGAAAGGGCAGTCAAATGTGAAAGCAAGAGAAATAGCTGTTGGCATTTGATACCAAGCCAGATCTAGTGCAACTAATTTACCTTTCACAGGGTGCCAATTAAGATAATTGTTAATGCAATTAGAAAAACCTAAATTACTTCATTATCATGTTCGAACTGTATGATATTTTTTTAAAAAAAACTTAGAAGTCATCTCTCATTTTCATTTTTTTGATCTCAAAAAAGGAGATTATGGATTTGGAGAACACTGCAGTGTGTATATAGGACAGAAGCGTGGGAATCATTACCAATATGTCATATCCAAGGGTACATTCTGTACTGCTATTTAAGAAAAAGCATTATCCTGCTATTCCACGATTCTCCTCTTAGCATATACTTCCACACAATGGAAGAAACTGCAAGAGTACAAAGGAAAATTGCAAATGGGAAATGATTACCAGTATCCTCTGTAAAAAAAAAAAAAGTCAGTGTTTGAAATAAGGCAATTGTACACAAAAATGTGTCTGCAAATATCCTTAATAGGTACAATGTTAATCCTGCATTTATTTACAACTCACAACTTTTTTCTCCAATCATGACATCCTTTTCTATGAAGGCAGGTGTTCCTGAAAATAAAAAGATTCATTTTCAGGTCACAGTTATAATTTCTACAGGTAATCCTTGACTTACAATCATTCTTTTAGTGACCATTCAAATTTATAACGGCACTGAAAAAAAGTGACTCATGACCAATTTTCACATATTGCACCATCCACATATTCATGTAATCAAAATTCAGATGCTTGGTAGCTGGCTCATAAGACAACTGCAGTGTCCCAGAGTTGTGTGATCATCTTTTGCGACCTTCTGACAAGCAAAGTCAACAGGGAAGCCTGATTCATTTAACAACCGTGTTACTAACTTAACAACAGCAGTGATTCACTTAACAACTGTGACAAGAAAGATCATCAAATGGAGCAACTTAGCAACTGTCTTGCTTAGCAACAGACATTTGGGGCTCAATTGGGGTCATAAGTCGAGGTCTATCTATCTATCTATCTATCTATCTATCTATCTATCTATCTATCTATCTATCTAGACAGCTAGATGTAATATGATAAAAGCTACATTGACAATATCACACACAGCTACAATGTCATTAATATTGCATACAAACAAAATAGTCTCAATTATTCAGAGTTTTCAGGGCTTTCACAAAATGCTGTAAGCTTCACTTTAAATTAGTTTGCCCCTCCAGCTGGTTATCGAGCAAATTGATTTTTGAAATAATTTTTCACATAACATCAAATTTGCATTTATGAATTATCTATTGGAAGACCTTTGTCTGACTACTGCTAAAGAGCACTGATTGTAAAATAGGATAGCTGCTAAAGCTTTATTTTATATAAAAAGAGGATAATAGATTTATAACATACCACTTTTTGTTTCTGGTTTTTGGGAACGTTTTCCTGGAAAAAAAACCAACCCAAATTATATTGATATTGTTCTTGTTACTGCATTTTTATATGATCGTTTGTGTTAAAACTCTTATCACATGAGAATTAATAAATAATGAATTAATAACAGATTTGGCACAGTTACAAAGATAAACTCTAAACATTGCCTACTCATTACTAGGTAAGGATTGTGGAGTGACAATCTTAGGGTGATTTAATAGGTGAGGATTAGATGACTATTGTGTATGCCTTGAAGTTTTAATTTAATTTGTTTTTCTAAAGAAAAATTTACAATGGCTCAGTTCATATATTCAACTAAGCCATAATGTGCTTTGACTTTGGTTTAGCCCTTAACTTGAAGCTTAGCCTTTAATGAGTTTACTCAACAAACTATGTTTATCAAATCCTGACAAAGCATGATTTTGTGTGAACCCAAACATTGAAGCAAACATTTAAACCTTGGGTGCTTAATTAGGATAAAAACTGAAAAACAGCATGCCAAGTTGGATAAATTTCTCTAATTAGATGACAGAATGTTAAGTACAAATGTTGAGAACAGATATTAAGCATGAATCCCACATCAATAAGTTATGAAAGCTATGGAAGGAGCAAAACAGGATTTCATAAATTTTGGAAAATAAAACAAGTGACACCCTGAGGAAGGAATACTTTGCAGAATGGAAACTAATTAAGGAGAAAAGAAACCTAGAACTAAGGAGAAATTTCCTGACAGTTAGAACAATTAATCAGTGGAACAACTTGCCTGCAGAAGTTTTGAATGCTCCAACACTGGAAATTTTTAAGAAGATGTTGGATAATTATTTGTCTGAAGTGGTGTAGGGTTTCCTGCCTGGGCAGGGGGTTGGACTAGAAGATCTCCAAGGTCCCTTCCATCTCCTCTCCTCTCCCCTCCCCTCCCCTCCCCTCCCCTCCCCTATTCTATTCTCCAAATTCATTTCTTATTATTTTTATTTAATTTCCAAATTCAGACTTTTAGTGTTTCATATAAATGGGAAGGAGTAGAAATCTGGTACTCACAACTTGTTGGCAGCATCTTATCTTTCTTACCTTGGCTCACTGGAATAGAACGCCTTTGATTAATAGTTAGATGTAATTTAACCACCTGAGCTATAATTGCCACACGGTTGTAAATAGCAGCATGATGGATGTATGCATAACCATAATCATCTGTAATAGCAAGACTGTTGATGGAGGTCCTACGGCAGAAGGTAAGGAAGATGGCAGCCAGTCCTCTATCAGCAGCAGATTTCATGCCAAAAGACAGGCTCTAAAACCATAGAAAGGAAAACAGTGATGGTCACTCATGCTATTTATACTTCCAGTTATGATTCCTTCTTGGTTTCAAGTATGATGCTATAGCCTTGAGGGAAAATATAGTAATTTAAGATGTAATTGTGATAAGTATGTCGAGACAGCAGAATAGAAGAGAGAAAAACTGGAGAAAATAACAAAATACAAAGATCTGCAAATAGAAGTCGAATGACTGTGGCAAAAGAAAGCAAAGGTAACATCAACATTAATAGGTGCCCTGGATGCAATCCTAAAACAACTGGAATACCATTTCAATAGTATTAGAATTGACAAAATCACCATCTGTCAATTGCAAAAGGCAGTCACCCTAAACATCTGGCTGACTGTTAAGTCTAAACATCTGGCTGACTATTCAGCCAACCATTATATAATAATATACTTTACTTCTTTTTTTCTGTTGTAGTTTTTCACTTTCAAAGCACGTTTTATATGTTACTTTTGAGAATGTACTGGTAGTATAATCATGCCTATATTTTGTTTCTTTCCTTTTTGGTTCTTTCTTTGTTGTTATTTTTAAAAGCAATGTAAAATAAAAAGAACTAATTGTGATTCTGAATTGTATTAAAAATATGAATTTTGACATTGATTAAAAAATGCCGGCTCTGTTGAACCAGGGTTTCAGCAAAAATAAATAAATAAATAATTCTGTATAGCTAGAAACAAATTTACAGATCTGATATTAAAAATTGGATTCATGGAATGTGTTATCAACTGATGAAATTATTTACATTCTAAAAATGATATGGCAGTTGGAGGGAGTGATAAAGAAAGAAATTGTGGTAAATGTAGAAAGAAATTCTACAGATCTCAGACACTGCCCCCGCTGGTCCTCAAGAAAAAAACTATTTTCTGAATATGAAACTGGCCACTGGTACTTTTCTTTTCAAATATAAGCAGGGTCTTTACTGGAAGATGTTTGCTATTACACCACAGAAAGAAAGATTTGAATTCTCCTTTAGCGTATGTGCACATCTATTAATTATCTGCCTCAATTCCCAAATGAAGCTAATTAGGTTTTTTTTAAAAAATAATAATGGGAGTTTAATTTCAAAGACCATTTTAACATTGTTTAGTTTGGCTCTCCAGTGCAAACGTTGCTCGAAAATGAAACAGTAAGAAATCAGGATGTCCATTCGTCACTTGAAAATTGCAACATGTGAATGAGTTACCACAAATAACCCAATCAGGTCATTTACAAAATTGCATTGGACTCTTGAAAATCTAATAATTTTGCACCAAAATTATGAACATTATTATTATTATTATTATTATTATTATTATTATTATTATTATTAAATTTAATTAATTCAATTTATATGCTGCCCCTCTCTGAAGACTCAGGGCGGCATTATTAATTTTATTATTATTATTATTATTATTATTATTATTATTATTATTATTATTATTATTATTATTATTATTATTGCTATTGCTATTGCTATTGCTATTACACAGCTGATGAACTGTAGAAGCCCTGTTCTATTATGGAGGTTAAATACAAAGTCAAGGAACAGAAAGGAAAAGCATTAGCAGAAATGGGACAGAAACTGGATTTGAAGAACAGTAATAAAGATTAGTTTGTTTTGGTGATTAATACATTTGCTTTAAGATAACTGTCACAGTAATAAGAATATAAATACAAGTTTTTACAGATGTGTTCTCTAGGATATATTCAAACCCTTAAAACATACCTTACATTTAATAGCTTTCCTATAGCCAAATCTTTTCTTGAATTGATCCATTGCTTGTGTGTCAGTTAATGGAAGCCTTTTTGGTTTAAGGGTGCTTATCACTTCATTGATAGCTCCCCACCACTGACTTTTAAAAAGCATATAAAAAGCTTCAAGCTCAATGCCAATTACGTAATATCTGTTTTGAAAAAGAAGCCACATTACTATAATAAGCAAATCTTTTAACGCATCAAATTGTGTCTGTATAGTTAACAATGCTTTTGGAAGGAACCTGCATGAGTAGTGATCTTTCAGTCAAGCATAATCTATATCCATCACCTATTTCTACTTCATCACTTGACAGGCAAATTGGCTTGTGGGGGGGGATCTAGCAGTCTCCAATACTTGGATGGCAGTGTGGCTGGCTACAAGCTGTATATGAATTTAATTAATTCAACCCAATCAACCTGGCCAAACCCAATGGCCTGCAGACTTCTTAGACTACAGCTTTGTAGCATTAACTTTGTAGACGTGAGTTTTAATTAAACCAAGCTATTTGGAAGGCAGTTAATTAGGGAAAACTGATTCAGTGAGGGAGAGGTGACATGGATATACTAGAATACAATTATATTTTATACATTTTCCCTTCCTTGACAGAATATATGGTTTCCATATATTTTAACTTGATAAATTATAACTCGTTACTAATTTCAGGGCGAAGAACTCAAAGTCACTCAGTAAATCTTACGGCTTGCGAGAAAGTTTAACCTGCACCTCCTAGTCAAACTCCATACCATGATAGCTTTGCAGAGAGACTCTATGGCAGGGGTCCCCAACCCCTGGGCCATAGTCCACTACCGGGCTGTGAGCTGTTCAAAACCAGGCCACCCAAAGTGTTGGGTGAGCACATGCAAGTTCACACAACCCTTGTGTGAACAGTGGGCAAGCAAAATGGATACAGATGTTTGCTTGTCATTTGCATGAAACCATCCCCTCTCCCCTTCTGCACCGGTCCGCAAAGCCGGAAAGGTTGGGGAACTCTGCTCTATGGGGCTGGGTGTGTGTGTATATTTGAATGAATTAATGAACAGGGAAAATCTATTTTCCATTTAACATTTCTGATTGATTGTCAGCATTTGTAATAATTTCTGCGTTTTTACTTACAGGTATCTTCAAATTACAACCATAATGGAGCCTGATCATCATGGTTATAAGTTGTAAATTGAACCACTCACATGGCCGACATGATTTTATAACCTTGTTTGTGGTGGTTGTTAAGCAAACACCATGGTCATTAAATGAACACTGCAGTAGTTAAGCAAACCAATGGTTTGCTATGGGCTGTTTTTACTGAAAACAAGAAGTAAATTCTGGGTTTTGCTAGAGCCATTGTAAAATGTAGTCTCATGATGGCAGAATGCTGCCAATGGCTGTGAATGTGGACTGTGAGCTCCCAAAATACAATCACATGCCCTCCAGGGGAAGGGCAGCCGTTGGAACTTCAAAATCAGGACCCAGATTGTTGGGGGCAATCTGCTGACTCTGTAAACTGCTTAGAGAGGGCTGTAAAGCACTGTGAAGCGGTATATAAGTCTAAGTGCTATTGCTATTACTATTATTACTAAAGGACTCAAAATGTTTCAGCTACTTTGAACTTAATCTAGTGAATTTTCTAAATGAATGGAAATATTTCTGCATGCTCTTTACCTTTTGCCATCAAAATCCATTACTGGAATAGGATAATGTTCTCTGTAGGGTGCATCTGGGTCCAGCAGTTGAGTAAGATGATTTATTGCACATGTGTGCATTTCATCATAGGCAGCCTATAACAAGAACATGATAAATATATACTTAGAAATAGAATAACAGAGTTGGAAGGGACCTTGGAGGTCTTCTAGTCCAACCTCCTGCCCAGGCAGGAAACCCTATAGCACTTCAGACAAATGGTTATCCAACATCTTCTTAAAAATTTCCAGTGTTGGAGCATTCACAACTTCTGCAGGCAAGTTGTTCCACTGATTAATTGTTCTAACTGTCAGGAAATTTCTCCTTAGTTCTAAGTTGCTTCTCTCCTTGATTAGTTTCCACCCATTGCTTCTTGTCCTGCCCTCAGGTGCTTTGAAGAATAGTTTGACTCCCTCTTCTTTGTGGCAACCCCTGAGATATTGGAACACTACTACATGTTTTTACAATTTACAATGTAAATTTGTAAATTTAACACAGATTTTCTGTTATTGTAAATATTCTACCTCTACTTCTTTACAACCCATTTCCATATTTTCCTCTGTTCTAGAGAGGAACATCCCACATAGTATTATAATTTGCATGCTGATATATAGAGAATTTATAATGAACAAAAGGAGATAGTTAACAAAAAAAAATATATTGTATGTATGATAATTTTGGTATATTAAGCTTTCATTACAGAGCTGAGAGCCATTACAGAAATCTGTATCTGAGAGTGTCAATTATCAAAAAGTATTCTGTGCTGCCGATTTTATATTAATACCCAATGAAGCTGATTTCCAGAACTTTCAATTTATGAAGCAGAGTCTTCAGATTAAATACTACTTAACCTTACAATTGAACTCAAATAAGCCTCTGCCCAAAATTGAGATAGTAATTCTCTCTTCTTCTCCCTCTCCCTACCTCCCTCTCCCTCTCCTTCTCCCTCTTCTCATCCATCCACCCCTCCATCCCTGTGATAACTTAGCACAGTTGTTTTTGTTCTTAAAAAAAAAACAGCTTGGTACCTTAACCTCTTTGGAAACATCTTCAACTGAAGGCGTCCCAACATCAAATTCAATGCCACCATGGAGATGGAAATACTGATTCTGGGCATACAAAAAATGTTGGCATTTGAAATCTGTTCCAAGCAAAAATGGGGGTAATTCACGTTCAGTTTTAACTTTGTCATCTATAAAAAAAAGAAAAGCAAGAGTTTGATTTAGAATGATGATTGTCATTATTGATCGATCTGTTTTACCAATTTTTTAAAAAAAGGAATTACACTTTCCAGATAACTTCTAGAAACTATTTTCAATATTTTCATCAAATGAAGAGAACTGCTTCTTTGGCAAATTAATTATTGCTATTACAACAAAGAAAATGATACTGAATATATCTAAATACGTGCTTGCATTTTAAAAGTACATTGGATTCAAATAAATCCAATAACCTATGGTAATTTTCAAACAAAAAGAGTTTTGGAACATGACCTCAAAAAGTCAATTTGCTTGGAAAATGAATAAAAATCACAGTTATGGTCCCAAGTGTATTTTATTAAGTTACCTATCTCTATATAAATAAACTTTTAAAAAAAGCTTTTTAAATGGCTACTCGGAAAATTAATGAGTTTATAATGAAAGACAAACATTTTAGGGACAGTAAATGCAAGTATTTAAAAGGAACTTGCAGTATATAAAGTTCTTTTGTAATTCACTAAGATTTGTAGGACAGGTACACAACTGAAAAAAGGTATAACAGTAAAGAATAGAATAGAATAGAATTCTTTATTGGCCAAGTGTGATTAGACACACAAGGAATTTGTCTTGGTGCATGCTCAATTGATCAGTATAAAGCAATCCATTAATATTAATATTAAGAATAGACAATGTAAAAATATTTCTTCAAAACTGTAAAAATGTGTGTTAGCTTCCAATATAGGTTTTCATTCTACTTTTTTATTTATTTATTTTTATTTATTTATTTTATTAGATTTCTATACCGCCCTACTCCCGAAGGACTCAGGGTGGTGCACAGCCAAACAATAAAAACACATATATACAAAATTTAAAAATAGAATAAAATCAAATTAAATAATTTTGGCCCCGACAAATTTAAAACCCCAAACTTTTAAAACCAATTTAAAATTGAATATATAAAATACTAAAAGATATTTAAAATTTTAAAAATCTCTTATAAAAGAGGGAGAAAATTAGGCCAGGCCGGCCTGGTGAAATAGTAAGGTCTTTAAGGCGCGGCGGAAGGTGTGCAGATCCGGGATCTTCCGTATCTCTGGGGGGAGCTCGTTCCAGATAGTAGGTGCCCCCACAGGGAAGGCTCTCCCCCTGGGGGCCGCCAGTCGGCATTGTTTGGCTGACGGCACCCGGAGGAGCCCCTCTCTATGGGAGCGTACCGGCCAGTGGGAGGCTATTGGTGATAGTAGGCGGTCCCACAAGTATTTATTTATTTTATTTATTTATTTATTAGATTTCTATACCGCCCTACTCCCGAAGGACTCAGGGCGGTGCACAGCCAAACAATAAAAACACATACAATACAAAATTTAAAAAATAGAATAAAATCAAATTAAATAATTTTGGCCCCGACAAATTTAAAACCCCAAACTTTTAAAACCAATTTAAAATTGAATATATAAATACTAAAAGATATTTAAAATTTTAAAAATCTTTTATAAAAGAGGGGGAAAATTAGGCCAGGCCGGCCTGGTGAAATAGTAAGGTCTTTAAGGCGCGGCGGAAGGTGCGCAGATCCGGGATCCTCCGTATCTCTGGGGGGAGCTCGTTCCAGATAGTAGGTGCCCCCACAGAGAAGGCTCTCCCCCTGGGGGCCGCCAGTCGGCATTGTTTGGCTGACGGCACCCGGAGGAGCCCCTCTCTATGGGAGCGTACCGGCCGGTGGGAGGCTATTGGTGGTAGTAGGCGGTCCCGCAAGTACCCGGGTCCTAAGCCATGGAGCGCTTTAAAGGTGGTAACCAAGACCTTGAAGCGCACCCGGAAGACCACCGGGAGCCAGTGCAGCTCGCGCAGGAGAGGTGTTACATGGGAACGCCATGTCGCTCCCATTACCACCCGCGCGGCCGCACTCTGCGCCAGTTGGAGCCTCCGGGTGCTCCTCAAGGGGAGCCCCATGTAGAGAGCGTTGCAATAGTCCAGGCGGGAGGTGACAAGGGCATGAGTGACCGTGCGTAACAAGTCCCGATCCAGAAAGGGACGCAATTGGCGAATCAGGTGAACCTGATGAAAAATCCTCCCGGTCACGGCCGTCAAGTGCTCTTCTAAAGACAGCCGTGAATCCAGGAGGACGCCCAAGTTGCGAGCCCTCTCCGTGGGGGGCCAATGATTCACCCCCAATAGTCAGTGATGGCGTCAACTGACTATATCGGGACGTCGGAAACCACAGCCACTCGGTCTTGGATGGGTTGAGCCTGAGCCTGTTCCTCCCCATCCAGATCCGTACGGCCTCCAGGCACCAGGACATCACTTCAAGGGCATCGTTGGGGTGATCCGCGGTGGAGATGTACAGCTGACTGTCGTCAGCGTACTGATGGTACTCCACCTCGAAACCACGGATGATCTCGCCCAGCGGCTTCACATAAATGTTGAACAGGAGAGGCGAGAGGACCGACCCTTGCAGCACCCCACATATGAGGGGCCTTGGGGTCGACCTCTGTCCCCCTGTCAACATAGACTGCGACCGGTCAGAGAGAAAGGAGGAGAACCACCGCAACACAGTGCCTCCCACCCCCAACTCTTCCAACCGGTGCAGCATGATACCATGGTCGATGGTATCAAAAGCCGCTGAGAGATCTAACAGGACCAGGACAGAGGAGCACCCCCTGTCCCGAGCCCTCCAGAGATCATCAACCAACGCGACCAATGCCGTTTCCGTGCTGTACCCGGGCCTGAAGCCCGACTGGAACGGATCCAGATACGTTTTCACTCAGTTTTTTATTTTTCCCCCCAGCTGGTAAGCTTTTGTAGCTAATGAGCTTCCTCGGTGCTCTTTGGGTTACTTTGGGAGGTTCCTAATATCTTGGGGTTGTTTTTTTAAAAAAACCTGCCAAATCTGCATCCTTTTAAGTACTGCCTCTATTTTTGTTATACACCCATGCTATCAGAAAGAGACCAAATGGGTTTTCACCACAAAATGCACTTATTCCTCTCTTGGCAGGTTTTTATTTGAAGCAGATAAAAAAAAATAGCTTATTGGTGTCTGCTCACTGAGAGAATTCCTTCATGTTCAAAACTATTTTTTTTTTACCAAATATTAAACATTTTATAGTACCAATTTGTAGGCAATGCAGTGGGATGTGAGACTTTACATGTACAGTACCTAACAACGATGACACCTTATAGCAATCCTGCAAACTTTACCATTCATAGTGCATGTCAAAAGTGTCATTCTCTTGGGTTTTCCAGACCAAATAAAGAGCATACCACTTTTGACAAGCAATATAAATGGTGACATTTGCAGGACTGCTATAAGACATTATGCTTCAATCCAGCCCTTCAGTCTGTAAAAAGAGGTATAAGAATTAATTGTAGTCAGGAGTTCTTATATGCTACTTGTTCGGCCTACCACTGATTAAAAATAAGGCAGGGCCTCCAGATCACAGTCTAGAGTCCCTCAAACCAAGGAGGAACCCAGATGACTTTTTAGAGACTTGTTTGTAATAGCAACACCATCCAATAGATACAGGATCAATGACTATACTGTATGCTGAATTTTGACAGGGCTGGTGATATTTTTTTTCCTACAGCCTCATTTCTTGCCTTGGGGCAGGTGAAGAATCTAACCAGTTCTGGGACGTGTGAGGAAGGCCTAACTATTTAAAATGTAGTATTATCATGCTCCAGACTACAAGTGATAAAGGAAATTCTAGTGTTATACTTGTTATACCTTTCTCCATTTCTGCACTTTACTGCTATATATTGTTTCTGAGGCCTTCTCAATAGCTTAGTTTTTAAAAAAACTAACCCTGTTCCAGCATACAGCAACTGAGCTGTCTAGGCAGAGAATAGATTAGACTCTAGTCCCAAAGATTCTTCTTTTCAAAAGGCAACTGGTGGATCTTCTTAGTTTTTTTTTCTTTGAAAATGTTTCACTTCTCATCCAAGAAGCTTCCGTTAGAACTGAAGCTTCTTGGAATGAGAAGCAAAATGTTTTCGAAGAAAAAACACTAAGAAAGTTTAGTTGCCTTTTGGGGGAAGAAAAAAAAAACATCTTTGGCACAATCATGATCTGGATGATTGAGAATCTCCATAGGCTAGACTCTAGTCTATTCAAACCCATTTTGATAGGGTGGTTTGTGACATGAACAACTGTGTGACTGTCATCTAATCAGTGGTGGGTTGCTACTGGTTCGCCCTGGATTGGGTGAACTGGTAGTGGCGGCAGTGGGAGGCTCCGCCCACCTGCCTGGATGTCTCTGCACATGTGCAGAAGCATCACGAGAGAGAGAGAGCGCCCACAAGCGAACAGGTAGCAGCCGAAATTGAAACCCACTACTGCATCTAATGCAATGGTACATTGTAATGACACTACCCAGATTTTTTTTTTCATCTCAGTGATACCATTTTCAATGGCTTACTTTGTCTAAGAAATGTTTCATTTTATTGTCTGATGAAGAAACCTGTTTCAACAAACACATCATACTCTTACCTGAATACGGCTGAAGAAGCCGGCTTAAATTTGGGACTTTGTTTTTTCTCTTTAAATTAATGATAAACGGGATGAGAAAGCTTATCAGTTTCATGTACGCTATGTTCTTTTGGATGTCTTCTTTCTTTTCTAAATGCTTTTTCAGAAGTTTGAGCTGAAGGGAGAGCCTCTGCTGTAGTCTCTGGTATGAGAAAGCATCGAGATGATCCTCAGTCATTCTAATTGCATTGGAGAGGTTGTATGCCGCATCGAACAGGAAGACATCTTCATACTGTTGAATCTTTGTCGTGGCAAACGTCAGTTTAAGTATTATATGGTCCGCAAACTGCATAAAGAAAGTTTTTTCTTCTGTGCTGTTAGGATTGTAAGTTGGATCTTCATTCATGTTTTCATCATAGATTCCTTGAAACTCTGGCTCTTTTGTAATGTCTATTAGACCTATACCACATACATGCACATATAAGTTCTAAATACTATATTAAAGATAAACATATTAAAATACAGATATATCCTATAGCAGGTGTCTCCAACCTTGGCAACTTTAGGACTTGTGGACTTCAACTCCCAGAGTTCCTCAGCCAACTTTGCTAAAGTTGCCAAGGTTGGAGACCCCTGTCCTATAGGCTGTGAACATGTGAAAGAGGCGTTCACCCTGCAGTGGATAGAGAGTGGCTAAAGATGATGTTATATCCTAGGTCTCTTTAAAGGAAAAATAAAGTCAGTTATATTCATGAACGTCCAGCCTTAATCAGATATGAGATTCATTGAAATCAGTGGCAGTTGTATTAGATACGGCTCACTAGTCTCAAAGATTTCAGAATGTCTTCTCTGTGGATGATGTAGCTTGAATCCAACCCATAAAAGTACTTTTTTTTTTAACTCAAGGGGACCATATTTCATGTTAAAGACAATCTTTTTTTTTTTTGCCAAGCATTCTAATGCTTGATTTTAAAAGAAATAATCAGAAAATTAAATTAACAGAATCATCCAATTGCTATATACAAAATATTTTGGCCATCAGCCTCTAACTATTCAAAGCCTTGGCAGCAATCATCTGGCTGGCTGGAAATAAGGCTAGAAACATGTTTGTGCGCTCTGCTTTCCTTCCTATCAGAGTTTTGTTTGCTTGCTTGACTATTTCCTTTGGAAGCTAGTATAAATTTTCCTCACATTTGAGAATACCAGAAAAACCAAAAGAGCACCATGTCGAAGGAAGAACCCAGAGAGAGTGGCATGTATGCACAGGAACAACCAAGCAGAACCAGTCATCTCTAGAGGATATAAAAATCAGATAAATAATAACATAAAATAAGGGAGCTAAAATAACCACAAGGCACTTTATCATACTTAAGCCAGGAACAGTGGCCATGGTTGGCCCAAGATGAAATGAAAGGCTATACAAGGACTTGTCAGGAGAACCCATCAGTGCATGCAACCCTATGAAACATCTTGTATTCTCCAACCTTCCTTTCATTACCTGCATTGTATTGTAGTGAGGCTTGATGAGTGTGAATGTGTGTTTCAGCAACTGTATTCAATATAGCTAAGAGGTTAACAGGAACTTTTTTTGTCTTATGTTTCCCGGACTCCTCTATTACCTTGTCTCGGAGATGGTGCTCATCAGATGAGGTAACAAGAACAAACAGTGGATTAGTAAGTAAGGGATACAAGGGAGTGTAGAGTTTTGGGAAGTATCACTACTGGAGCCACACAACAGTGTGCTACTTTTCCAGAAACAGAGCCCAGCTATTAGGCTGGGGGGCGGAGGCAGTAATGGATGAATGTAGGCATTGGAAGTCTGGTCTGATTGCTATCACAAGTCCTGCTGGAAGGGCCTTGGTGACTACAAAGGACGTTGAACAACTGCCTGGGATTAGGTACTCAATCTTTTGGTTGGTTTTGGATACTCAGGGATTTGGCTAAGCTTGTTATTTGGGGAAAAGATGAGGAGTGGCTTTGAGTGGCACCTCTGGAGTGGGAGAACCTGGGTAACAATCTCTTCAATGATTACACTAAGTTCTATATGTGTTTCACTTAGGTGTACATTTGCAAGCAGCCATGAGTGACTGAAGCTTCGTAATATATATTCACAACATCCATGTATCAGATATGTACAAGTTATTTTACATGATAGAGTTTCATCCCGATTATTACTTCCTATGTACATCGAACCATGTTTTCATGCAGTGGTCGATGCAAACTTACCAGCTAGACAGAACTCTGCAGCAGGAGTTTTTAATGTTTGGGGAACACCATCTTGATCAATATCCATGCTAGAGCGCCAGAGTTCAGAGAACCTTACCCTTTTTTCCTTAGGCATGTATACCCCATGCCACAGGGCTTTCAACATATAGTCAACAGCAATTAACATTTGTCCTATTCTTGTATCAAAATATGCTGGAGGGAGGGAACAAGAAGTACTCTGATCATAATTGGCATCTAGATTGATAGAAGGGATTTGGTTCAGACAATAAATGCCCACGGCCAACTCTCTGATCATTTGATGAATTTCCCGACAGTCCAGATCTAAGCCTGGTTCCACTGGCATAAGTACAATAGCTATTGAAGTATTGACGCTTTTCATCTGACTCAGAAGTCCACTGGGAAGTTCCAATGGGTGGCGCATGTCGTCTTTGGATGCCAACCAGCTGCAGAATGAAGTGGTCAGTAATTCCTGAAGCTCACTTCGGTCGTACTTCTCAAAGAAGGCACTAGCATTCCTCTGTGCTGCCAGGTGTGCTAAGTAGGCTGCCTCATCTGCTTGCTCATTTCTCAAGGCTTGCTTCTTAATTGGTCTCAACATTCTTCAAAATGTTCCGTTCTGCTGTTTCTAAATGTGAATTATTTTGGAGGAGGGGGTGAGGGGTAAAGGAAGTTAAAAATTAAAATGAAGCAATATAAGATTTGCTGGAAGAAAAATATATGAAGGGCCCTTGCTGCTCTCTGAACTTGGTTGTTTTCTTGCACACATTTCACTACCAAACTAGATAACATCATCAGTGCTGGCAGGGAGTAGGATTTGCTCTCATTTTATATTCCTGCGGCTTGACTTGTCAGTGGAGTGGGAATTGGACAGGTAGTCTTTGACTTACAACCATTTGTTCAGTGATTGTTCGAAGTTACAGCGGCACTGAAAACAGTGACTTATGTATGACCTGTTGTCACACTTACAACTGTTGTAACATCCCCATGGTCATGTGATCAAATTTGGGGGTTTGGCAATTGGCATATATTTATGACAGTTCCACTGCCCCGGGGTCCTGTGATCATCATTTGTAACCTTCTCACATGGCTTCCGACAAACAAAGTCAATGGGAGAAGCCAGATTTGTTTAATGACATGATTCACTTAACAACTTCAGTAATTTGCTTAACAACAATGGCAAAAAGATTGTAAAATGGGCCAAAGCTCACTTAACTCTCTTGCTTAGTAATGGCAATTTTGGGCACAATTGTGGCAGTAAGTCGAGGACTACCTTATATAAAAATATATATTTCATAAAGAAGAGAAAGCAATGAGGTGAAAACTTCACAGTGAAAACCCTACACCATGGGGATGACATACACCTATATTACTTTACAGACATTTCAGATCCTCCACAATTTGGCAACTTGGTTTTGGTTTATAATTCTTATCCTGTCGGGATAAGATCGATATTGCAGTCCAAAATACTTAGATTGGAGAAGGTTGGATTAGGTCATAATTCTCTGGTTACTTAAAGTTAATTATGGAAGTCCCATTTTAAATTATTATTAAATATTATAATTATGCTTTATTAATTTTAACTTGGTACTTTTACATTTGAATGACTGCATCAGTGTGTTACACACCTATAACTATTGTTCATTTGCTTCACTGCTCACAATAAAATATATTTAAATTATGTATTATTTCAGTGAATGCCGATATGTCAATGTCTGTACATTAGATTATTACTAATAACGTTGTATTATTGTTACAATACTGTTGGTTAATAAGATTGTGAGATGTATAGTTGAGACTCAATTCTTTATTTTTAGAAGTCACAGCAATCTTATGAACTTGTTAAATTATTCTACAGGAATATCAAGATGACAGCAATAACCTTGTGCAATACACGTAAAAAAAGAGATGGGGTTTCAGAGATGGTGTTGCAGTAGCAATCTTAACATTTTAGTCCTCTCTGTGGATGTCTCGTGTTGTGCCTTAGTTATATTTGAATGAAAGGAATGAAGCTATCAACCCTGGCTCCAATGGGTATTTCAATATGCATCAAAATCAACACAAAGAGAATCTGTACAAACTGCCTTATTTTACATAGGGAAATTGGTACATTAGGAATTGTTCTGTATGCCCTATCCCTCTCATTTTTCTTAGATGATATCCATTATTCAGCTATAATGCCTGGAAACAGCATTATGTTTAAAATATTATTCATACATTGCTGCACTGAGATTTGAGTCAGGTTTTATACTTTTTCATTTATAGTTTATTAGTTTAACTTTACACTGTTTGAATTAGTGAGTAGTGTGGTCATATTTTATTATGAACAGGAGCAAAACCGTAACACTTTCCATGCAATACTAAAGTTGAATATTTGAAATGGGAGTGAAATGATTTGAATAAAACCTGTCTATAACAGAGTATGAATAGAACAGAATTTTTTTTTCTGTTTAATAGGAGATAAACAGCACTTGAATATAGCTATTAAAATCAATGAACTTTTAGTAAACTTCCAATTTTTTTACCATTTTGGGAGCAAATGATATTCTAGGGAAGTGAAACTATATTGATAATGGATATTTATTTGTTAATGGTTTGAGTGGGAGCCTATAGCTTTCTTGTTTTGTTGTTGTTGACTCTTGGAATCTCTCAATTGTTCCACAATAATTACCTACATTGATTTAGAGAAATTGAATTTTGCATTTAAAAAAAAGAAAGCAACAATATACAGGTGTGCAAGTAATGTTCAGGAAAGCCCCACACCACATTCACTTATAATCAACATTCTATGAGATTCAAAATACTTCAAGCTGACAGAAGCATGAATGGGGCGCTGTGTCTGGAGATCAAGTGATTACCCTCATCTCAAGAACTAATTTAAAACAAGAACGAACTTGGAAACAGTCTGAGAGAAGAAACAGTGCACCATCTATCTCAACATCTTCAGAATTAAGTGACTAGAATCCTCAGATATAGAAAAACTGTTCAGAAAGACTGGAGATAGATGGAAATCTGTTCTTATCTGTTTTATGCAAATTACAAACTCTAAATTAGAAGGCAAGCATAATCTTATAATCTGTCCTGAGTCTTTTATTTTCCTTTGTATTTTTTTTATGGAAGCTCCTTTTAAGTCAGGACCTGAGATTTGAATACCTTTTATGAGACTGGCTGATCTTCCAAAAAGAAAAGAGGGGAAGATGTGGTTGATTTTCTTTGCCTCATCTCCCTAAGGCCAAGAGGTCGTGTTATAGAATTTATTTCATTTCTTTCTGATTCTTTTTTTTTTAATTTTTCAGAAAGCAATATAGTTAACAATAGCAGGGATACTTCCAAGCAGCTAGTTTGCAGTGCTATCAGGCAAAAGATGTGTGACTGTTTTATCTTATGCCTTCTTCACTTATATAAGAAAAACAAGAAGTAGCACTGAGTTTTACAGTAGAAGACTACAGAGCCAGTTTGGTGTAGTGGTTGAGGTATCAGGCTATAAAGCAGGACGCTGTGAGTTCAAGTCCTGCTTTAGCCATGAAAGATAGCTAGATGACTTTGAGCCAGTTATTTCTCTCTCAGCCCAACTTACCTCAGAGTTGTTCCCTGGAAAACAGGAAGAGAAAGGTTGGTATGTTCACCATCTTATTTGTAAAAATAATAAAGGCAGGATACAAATTTAAAAAAACATTTTCTATGAAGAAAATAGATTATTAATCAATCTTTATTCAGTCACAGACCAGCAGATAGATGGACTATGCAAAAAAGCAAACAAAAAAGATTTGTCTGTACATCTGCGCATGTACACATAAAGACAAATTATTAGAACATGTTATAGGAGCAACAATTTGAACTTGATAAAATCAGTGCAGGGCAAACCATCGCTCACCCAGTGAGCAAAAAAAATTGTCAAAAAAATTCTTTGACAAAAAAAAAGTTAAAGCATAGAGATAAAAAGTTGAGGGGGCTTCCTAAACACGGAATAAAAAGTTTGAGTGCAGATAACAGGCATTCTCATTTCCTAGCCACCTGCAGCTTAGATGTAGGAGACCAAGCAGCGCCTCTTCAAAAAACATTTAGTGTCGAACTGGCCCTCATATAAGAGAAGATAGCTCTTTAGGTATTCAGAAATATGTCACTGGGTGTACATATTGCGCCAAGCTGTAGCCTGCTTGGCTTTGACTGAACATAATGCACGAATATAGTCAATTGTAGTTTAATAAAACAGATGGCTTGAGGTGTGAATCCAGCCAGGAAATGAACCAGGAGGACTGGGTAGTGATATATATGCTGTAAACTATTATCATGTGTATCCCTACCATAGTCAAGCCAACAGTAATTCCTTCAGTCCTTGGTCTGATCAGAAATCGCCGAACACTTTTAAGTAACATTTGCACTTCAGCCTGAGGGAAGGGAGGAAAGTGAAAAGAGAAACCTACTTTCTTCGTGTTCTTTAAGCATCCTGACTAAAAAGAGAAGGAAGAAAAAGCAGTAAGGCCCCTTTAATACCCTCTAACCGTTTAAAGGCTACCTCTGCCAAATCAGGGAATAGAACTAACAGAAACCAGAAAAAAAAAAAAAAAGAAAAATTCTAATAGATCTCTGGAAACTCAATCCTAGATAAGCAAGGTGACTGAAATACAAATCTACGCATATAAATCTATAAATAAGTGAGAGGCTTGCCTTTTGTCCCAAGACTAGAGAGCCTCCAGCTCACATCCTCAGCTGTTACGTGGTGAAGAAGGGAGTAGAAAGGAAAGACTGTCACTATGGATACCATAGAACAGTAAAAGAATCCTGCTACTGGTGAACTTACATCTTTTGGGAGCAAAGGCAGCGCCTTATCTCATGCTACATTTTCCCAGTAATAACACATGGCATACACCTTTTTAAAAACGTGGGCACCTTCAAGATGACTAAATTGATTGCTACAGAGCTGGCATCACATATTGTTGCTCATTGCTTTGTCTGGCAGAGATAAGAAATACCTAGTGATCGCACTTTGTCAAAGACACTGGATGATAGAAGATGCATGAGATTTTTATACATTAAAATTTCATTTACAATCCAAAAAGGAAGAGCCAATAGTAAAAAAGCTAACAGATTTAGAACTATCCATTAATAAACATTCTCTCAAAACAATAGCTGGGATTCTGAGGACTCTCCTGATGAATACTGGATAGACAATGAAAATATCCAGAATAAAGATGACAAATGCTTTGCTCTTTGTAGTCTGAATTCCTCTATTGTTATTGAATTAAATAAAAGGTAGCATGATTTTAAAAACTTAAGCATAAGAGAAAAGTATTTTAAATGGCAAAGTGGACTGTAGCTTACAAACATGCCATTATTACTTTATGTTTCTTGTCCAGATACAGAAAAGCAGCAGTCTGTATAGGCATACAGTTTGTGTACGATGAGTATTTTATTTAGAGAAACAAAACAAGATTGTTTTGTTAATATAGGACTGCCTGGGTCTTGGATCTGATGCTATCACAGAGTAGGAATATAATATTACAAGTAAGTCATAAAAGAACACATTACAATATATTCCCAGGCCTTTATTCCTACTGAGTCTTGAGGGCCATTAACTCTTAATCACTTGAGTAGTTTCAAATTTCTATTGTGGAACCTAAAGAAGCAAAGAATCTGATTTGATTAACATTTCTTTGAAGAAGCATCCAATATATTAATAAATAAATCTGTGACAAAAACATATAAAATTTATTGCAGGTAATCCAAATAGTTATGATAAAACTACAATATTTTTAAAGTTATTATTTCTGTAATTCTTACCTCAATGGGAAGCCCCTGCTCCTATGTATAAAATTTTAAGAAATAATAGAAAGCCTCTGGTGCTTATTTCCAATTAAATGTGCAGAATCCTGATCCTAGTGTAACTGTATCCAAGGTCTTTGAAGTTTGCTTAGTAAAAAATTATGTCTCTTGAAAGAGTAGCTGTGGAATATGTATGTATGTATGTATGTATGTATGTATGTATGTATGTATGTATGTATGTATATTATTATTCTCTTGAAGCTGTCTGAAGTCTTGTACATTTGTCTGACGCCTTTTCACTGGTATTTTCCATTTTTGCAATTCGAGAACCAAATTGCATGGCCCGTTTTGGCAAAACCGCAGAGGCCGTCAAACCAAGCTCAGCAGCTACTAGACGCAAGAGCAATTTTTCTCCGATCCCACGAGGTAGAGCCAAGTTTGCTTTTTCCCATACTGGAAGCGAGTTAAGAAATGACACAACCTCTTCATCAAGAAAGGGAAATCTGAAAGGGAAAATTATAGCAAGAAAAAAAAAATCAAGTTTTATAAACAAATGTAAACAAAGCTTTCTTTAATGAACTGGTTTGGTTAATAAATTGTATATTTTTTAAAAATCTCCATTTTTAATACATTCATCTACAAAACATCATTAGTGCAAAACTGTAGGCATCTACTATCCTGAATGCTATGACAACGGTAGTTAACAGCTCCGATTAATTTCAATGCTTTAGTCCAGATCAATGTAGAGAAAAGTAAAGTCTTACACTTAGGCAAGAAAACCCAAAAGTACACATATAAACTGGGTGAAACCAGGCTTAATAGCAGTAACTGTGAGAGGGATCTTAGAGTCTTAGTGGACAACCAGTTAAATATGAGCCAACAGTGTGCGGTGCCAGCCAAAAAAGCCAATGCGATCCTAAATTGCATTAACAGAGGGATGCAATCAAGATCAAGTGAGGTACTAATACCACTCTATAAAGCCTTAGTAAGACCACACCTAGAGTACTGCATCCAGTTTTGGCTACCACACTATAAAAAAGATGTTGAGACTCTAGAAAAAGTGAAAGAAGAGCAACCATGATGATTAGGGGACTGGAGATTAAAACATACAATGAACTGGGACTGGCTAATCTAGTGAAGAGAAAGACCAGGGGAAACATGATAGCAGTGTTCCAATATTTGAGGGGCTGCCACAGAGAGGAGGTGGGTCAACATATTTTCCAAAGTATCTGAAGGCCAGATAAGGAATAATGGATGGAAACTGAACAAGGAGAGAATTCAATCTGGAAATAAGGAGAAATTTTCTGACCATGAGAGCAATCAACGAATAGAACAGCTTGCCTTCAGAAGTTATGGGAGCTTCACCACTGGAAGCATTCAAGAAGAGACTGGACTGCCATCTATCAGAAATGGTGTAGAGTCTTCTGCTTGGGTGGGGGGTTGGACTAGATGACCTACAAATTCACTTCCAACTCTGTTAATCTGTAATCTGTTTACAGTACACTGAAATATTATAAATTTATTTATTTCTATAATCACCCATCTCAACAAGTGTATTTTTTGTTTTCTTTCAATGAAAGACCTCCTTAAGAACCCAGATAATGTCACTTTAGTCTCAACACTCTTTTCCTAATGCTATTTCGCAGAATTTCTTGGATCTGAGCCACTGAGATTGTTTGCACAAAGAAAAGATAATCGATGATAAAAATTATGTTCTTCTCCACCCCAAGACAGAAACGCATCATAGTTCACGTCTGTGAGAAATTCACAAACAAATATTATGGATTGTTTGTGAAGTTGGATTCCCATTCCAAACATTTTTTTTTTCTGATATGGCAATTATTAGTACTGAATTAATAGCTAATAATGCTATTGAACTCTGTCTCTGGGATATTAGCTACCAGAAGAAAATAGTGTATTATGCCTGACAAAAAAGGACTTTTGAAAGTAGACTCTGCCTTCTTTTACCATAACATTGAATTGTTTCTTCGATTTATCTATTAGATATTTGCTGCCTTTATTCCTTATCATTATCTGAATTTTAATATGTCCAGTCAAGGACAGACTTATCTGTTGCACACCTGCTTACCTAGCTTCTTTGCCGTGATCTCCAATAACTCTATCATCTCGACCCAGATTCCTAGAAGAAATACGACTTAGTTCCATTCTTAATTCTTCAGTCAAACCCTCAAAACCACTTTTTTTGAAGCAAACACGGTGTCTGGAATACCCTGCAAGTTGTTCATCTGCTCCAATTCCTGTAATGACAATCTGTAATGAATATAGAAACACCATCTGTAATGAACAGAGATTACAGAATACTAACATAGATATTAACATTATATTCCAAATAAATCTAAAAGTAATTTACAATGGGGAATCCAATTTCTACAAGGTGTTCAACAGATGAAAATCTAGCCACAGCCACAAGATATAGAATGGTTAAATAAAAACCACAATGAAAAATATTTACTAAGACTTCCATAATACGAAAAAGAAAAAAAAGATATTAAATCATTTATTTTTGAAACCTGATCATCAAGAAATATAACAAAAGAAATTAAAATTGTAAACCCCAAAAGCAAATTATGCATAATAGTATGGGGCCCAAAACAGAGACTTATTTTGTTTCTCTGTCATAATTTCCAATGCTAAAGTCAATGTAGCTGCACGTATCTACTTCCTTGTATACATTCTCTAAACCTCTTTCATCATTGGTAGCATTATTTTACCACAGAACACTCTTAATTTTACAGTTATGCATGTAGTGTAAGTTGTGCATCTAGTGTGAGTTTTAGTACGTTGGAAATTGGTCCCATTAGTCCCCCAATGAGATTAGTCCCTATTAAGTAGCATTAGACTGTAATGCCAGTTATGGAGTTTGAATAGTTTTATACAACTTTAATTGAAAAAATGGAGATGATCAATAATTTCATACCTTTGCAGGACTTTTATATGGTCGAACAGCTCCCTGATTGGTAAGCAGACCCTCTCCTCTGGAAGCAAACCACACAGCACAACCTATACTGTCATCCAAAACAGTATCCAGTGGATAAATTAAATGTCTTATATGTTTCACTCTCATTGCTTTTAAATCCTCGAGTGTAACATTGATTTCCACAAAATTCCAAGTTCTTGAAGGATTAATTATCTTTAATTCTTCCAATCCTGCCTTGCCAGTCATTCTATCAGGAGCATTAAAAGAAGGAGAAGAGTCACTGGTCGCAGTATTCTTGACATTTAAACATTCCTGACAAGGGGGAAATTGTTTCTTCTTTTTGCTGCATTTCTTAATGGAACTGTTTTGGTTACCTTGGCTTGTAACCTCGAAGGCCACATTGAGAAGATCAATTGGTTCCTCCAATGGGACATACCTGTCAGCAAGGGCAGCTATAATCATGGAATCAAGGCCACCAGAAAAAAGTATGGCAATATAGGATTTCTTCAGATCTTTTTCTGATATTTCTCCTCTGATTGGATCACCATTTCTCATTAGGCATATAACCCGTTTCTTTACAGCTCTACTCAATACATCAATAAACTGATGGACTCTTTCCTTCCTGTGATGTTCTGCAAGAAATTTTTGAAGAACTTCCACATCAGCTACAGTCGAGGGAAAACTAAATAATTGGGATTCTACTGTCATGTCAGAAATTTCCTTATTTAAAGGAATGATAGGAGCTATCAAAGAAGTGGATGTATTCATCACAAGAGACACGTAAGCAGGTAAAGATTTAGAAACCACGCTTAAATCTCCAGGGATTACTTCTCCAGCTACATTTTGTCTGGGAAGAAATCTCCAAGGATGTAACATTAAAGTAATAGATTTATGAGCAATACAATCCTGCAGATTCATCTGAAAAATCCCTGATGCTGGAACTTCCAGCCACGGATTATGAGAGGCAGAACTAACAGAACTCAGTACAACAACAGCATCACTCTCTTTATTAAACTGCCACAGCAGACTTCGACGGCCAAAGTAGTCCCTGCCAAACCATAAGCAATGCCTGGATGCCTGATAAAAAATAAAAGACCATGGACCTTGAATGGAGGACAGCGCTGTCAAAAAATCAGAGTCACTATTGCAAGAGCAGAGTCGGCGAAAAATAACTTGAGTGTCATTCTCTTCCCTTTCCACAGAAATTCCACTGAAGATTTCTCCATTCCAAAGGAATACATTACCAGAGTCTTCCAATGGCTGTGGAGTCATTGGTCCCCTTAAATGAAGTACATGGCCAGAAAATAAGCACCAATATGGAAGATGAAGAACAGTCTTTTCCAGTTGTTGGCTCCTATCAGGCCCCCTTCTTTTAAGATTATTTAGGATATCTTCTTTCAAGATACTACTTCCAGGGGCATAAGCAGATAAGCTGATCACACAGCAAATTCCACACATTGTCAACTTGTACTGGACTTATTTATTTCTTGGTCTTGGTCTTTTCTGAGTTCTCTATTTCTTGATGAGCCTTCTTTAGTTCATCTAAAGTAACTGGAGGGAAAAGAAAAGCTCACTTTTAACGTATTAATTAAAAGGTGTAGAGAATCGTGCAAATATTTAAAGTAGTTTATAAATACATATAAAATTATGTTCAATGCAACTCCAGTGTACACGTTTACCATAACCCATGCACAAGAATCTGCCTTACAGTCCTTCCAAATACGCTAATCCAGTACAGGAACAAATATCAGCTGCATATGTTTCACTCCCTTGAGAGTGCAACAAGAGACCATTGATCTGATCAGTTATTCAGGGACACCTCAACCAAAGTACAGAATGGAAGAAGTCTTCTTCACTGTCACTGCCTTTGGTAGACATGGAAAATATAGCAGTAAGAAAAAGCATTATTATTGGAACATACTGTCAAAATGGTTTATGAAAGAAACTCTCCCCTAGAGATAATGTACTGCCATTTAATTCAATGTTTGAAAGCAGTACCTGAAAATACATGCTAAATCTTTTTCTAATTACAGTAACGTAATTCCCTTCAGAATATTTACTGCCCCATGTATACCAATAATTGAAATAAAATATCAGATCCTTATCTGTATAAAAACTATATTTAATAATGAAACATCTCTGTTATATATTATTTAGCTGATTTTTTTAAGTCTATTTAAACATTAATATTTTGGTTCCATATAAATGCCAAACAAATATAATTAAAATTTTGATATATAATCTTGATTGCAATATCCTCAATTAGTTCAAAATCAAGTTGACAGAATTACAACTGTGTAGCTAGATGGAAAATTATTATACTGAGTTCTGGAGTTGCCTAATTAACATTATTAACTTAAACAACAGTATCTAACTTTCATGTTCTAAAAAGCTCAAGACCCATTCCTGAAAATCTTCAGGGAGGCTCTTGTGTATGTATTCCCATAGTTACATGATGATAAAGTAAAGAGTCTTCTCTGCTATAGCATTACAGAACTGAGGATGATTCCCAAAGGGAAGGGACGAGCAATACATGATCTTCCAGTTATTACAGAAGTAAAATTTTTAATATACTTAGAATTGCCTTTTATGACTGCATTATTTAGCAATCAAAATTCCAGTCCTAATTAGCACTGTTAAATGAAGACTACCTGCATATGTACATCAGAGATGGGTTTCAGCAGGTTCTGACTAGTTCTGGAGAACCGGTAGTGAAATTTTGAGTAGTTCAGAGAACCGGTAAATACCACCCCTGACGGGCCCTGCCCCATCTATTCTCTCCCTCCCGATTCCCAGTTGATTGGGAGGAAATGGAGATTTCGCAGTAACCCTTCCCCTGGAGTGGGGAGGGAATGGAGATTTTACAGTATCCTTTTCCTGCCACACCCACCAAGCCATGCCACGCCCACCAAGCCATGCCACACCCACAGAACCGGCAGTAAAAAAATTTGAAATCCACCACTGATGCACATATTACGTTTCTGGAGATGTACCATGATTTTATCACTTCAGATAAAAATAATCCACTGAGCATACAAAAATGCCAATATATTATTCTACAACCCCATGGTGTGAAACAAAAGTCAATTTATCTCACTGAACACTATCAATTTTAATATTAAGTTATATATTCTAAAATGTCTAAAATATAAATATATCTGAGGAACATACTTTTGCATTCGGAGAGAGTTTGAGTTTTGTCTGCTAGAAAGAATATATTGCTGTTTGGTTGTTGTCTGTAAACTTTCTGCAAATTAAAAAGAAACAGTCTGAAAGGTTCAACATTAAGAGATAAGACTTTTTCTAGTTTTCTCTTTCCATTTCTGAGTTATCTCCCACTAGGATTGAAAGTAGAAAATCGATAAACACATGTGAAATTCTCTTCTTCAACAAAAACAAAGCTTGCTTCAAACTCCCACCTTTTTTTTAAAAAAAAAGTCTGCAAGCTAGCTCTATTTTTGGAATCATATAATATGATCTATCTTTCATTTTTAGACACTCGTTAAGATGGTATGAGTTTAGGGTGCTAAATAAGTAATAAATGTCAAGAAAATAAAGAGCCTGGTGGCGCGGCTGACTAAAGCACTGTTATTAACAGTTATTAACACCAGCTGTCTGCAATTACTGCAAGTTCAAATCTCACCAGGCTCAAGGTTGACTCAGCCTTCCATCCTTTCTAAGGTAGGTAAAATGAGGACCCAGATTGTGGGGGCAATAAGCTGACTTTGTATAAAAATATACAAAAGTATGAAGGCTATTGCTTAACGCATTGTAAGCCGCCCTGAGTCTCCAGAGAAGGGCGGCATATAAATCAAATTTTAAAAAAAACACACAATCTCTTGTAGTAAAGCAAAATCTGAAAATCATTAAACATAACTATAGAATAGTAGAAAATAGTAGGAAACAAAAGATCATTCCAAAATATTTTACCACTTTCCATAGTGCCAGAAAGAATGGGACCAGATGTATTGCTGACTGCTTTAAGAATGCATACATGTGGAAATGCTACATGTTGCATATTGTGTTTTACACATTTAGGTATTACTTTGACTGTTGCTCCAAGTAGATTACTTCTGGTTTATCAATAATAGCCATTATCATTAGATATATATAGTATTAGCTTTATGTAATACTGTAACAATACCAACAAATGGGTGATGAGCAGATGGAATTGGATCAAAACTTGTTACCAAATCATACAAGACCATCACAATTCAACCACCTTAATAAAATAATACAATATTTTAGAGTGTCAGCATAGTTACATCTGCTCATTCTATATTGGCATAATGCTCAAATAAGTACACACCTCAGTATCAGTTATAAATTCCTTTATAACTATGAATAATATAAGACTTTTATAGTCACTTACACGGTTCTTCTTCAAGTTGGAAATTTCATCAACTACAATTTTTTGCTCTTTAATCTGCAATTAAATGATGAAAAAAGATCTCACTTCCATGAGAAACAAGCGCAAGTTTTCCAAGCATAATTTGTAAATTAGCTTTTTAAATCTCCCTAACATATATTTTAGGGTTAGTTTTAAAAGTTTTAAAAGTTTTAAAATTTTTAAAATTTTAATATTTATTTTAATTGACAAGTTTTAAATTATGAGCCAAATTTATAAATTTATAAATTTATAAATTATCTTAATTCTATTTTAATTGTGATGTTTGTATAGATGTTTTTTATCTGGCTGTTCACCGCCCTGAGTCCGAAAGGAGAAGGGCGGTATAGAAATGCGAATAAATAAAAAATAAATAAATAAATAAATATATAAATATACATTTTAAAAAATAAAATAAACACATCTTATTTACATGCATCAGGTGTATTCCATCATAAAAACTGACAAAGTGATGTCTATTTAGAAACTCTTGTGTAGCATCTTCTTCACACAGAAATGTCAAGCAACATGCAAGTAAGAGATGGCCCGACTATTCCAGACTGAGCTATCTGATGAGCAAGAGCAATTCTCCTATATCACTTGCAGCCTACAGAATTTACTTCTCCAGGAGCTATTGCTTAGTTTCCACTCCATCCATAAAATATTTAAAAGCCCATCTTTTTACCAGACATTTAACTTTCATTTGCCTTATAATTCAAGCATTTGTTTTAATTTCTGTTTTAAATTTTTGAATTATTTTATTTTTTAAATAAAAAATAGTACTCAGATGAGTAGAAACACAGAATTTAGTTCAGATAAATATACATTTAAGCCATGTCAGTAAATAGTATCGCATAAACTTCTATCCCAAACATGGTTAAATGATTCAGTCAATAAGAAAACTTAGATTGTTATAGTTAGAGAATGCATCCATTATAATTACAAATAAAAGTTCTAAAGCTTAGATTTTAAGACATTTACTATCATCACATGGATTCATATGAGAAATCTATTTTCCCCCATCCAGCATTTTTTTCACATTCACCTATACGTTTTTCAATATGCCGAATTGAAGATATTTAACCCTCCAGCTTCAGCAAGGAGCAAAAAAATGTACATTTTTGGCAAATTCAAAATAATCCAACTGAATTTCTATGTTAAAAAGAAGCATCCCCATCTTCAGTGAGAATTGTTCTTTTAAAAGGACAATTATATTTTTCAAAGAGAAGTTATTATTTCAACAATGTTCACTACATTAGGCTGCATGTAAGCCCCAAATTCAATGAAGCCTGATCCTTAATTTGTGTTTAGCATAGTCTGGGCTATCAAACTGTTGGTATCACTAGACAGGATTTCTTTCTGAAAGTTACTCTGTTGCATCTCCTGAAAGCAGAGTTTAGTACTATTTTATCAAGATTCTACCATCAGCAGTTACAGATGTAAATTGTCCATATTAGTGTCTCTCATTCTATTAATTTCATTGTTTCTCCACTGACCTTTCTGTTCAGCTCTTCTTTATCAGGCAACGTTGACCCTTCCCCCCCTTCCCTTAGTAGTGCTTGGCTTGACATCTGCTCCTGTTGAGTGGTCAGAAGCACCCCAGGTTCTTTTCCAATGGCAGATATAATCATTTAGTGCTCCCTTGTCAGGTTAAAGGCGACAGGATCTCAGGACCTGAAGAAAAAGCAAGAAACCAGAGTAATTATCCAATTATATTGAGAACCAGTAGCTAATGCAAAATCTTTCTATAAAGGAAGAGAGCTGCATATCTTTTGTGAATAGGTGTGGTGATAAAAGCAACTACTCCCATATGTATTTGAACTGCTTTCACAACCAAACCTCCAAGATGCCGCCCCCCCCCCCAAAAAAACCCAATTCTTATGAACTGCTTGAAGGGATCTGGTAAGAAAACATTCACAGCAAGCTGAGTTCACCCTTAGAGGTGCTAGGAGGATGGATGTGTCAGGTACCTGTGGTTGAGGAAACCACATTGTTACTATTCACTGACCACATCCCAAAGAGTTAGTAGTATGGCTAGCAGCTGCCCTACTGGGAAGGAATAAATGATACGGTCAGCCAGATACGTTTATCCTACTTATTCCAACATCATGCTGTAATTTACACTATGTCCGCCTTTTCTTTTGTCCCGCCTTTGCATTATAGTAGGCCATTACCAATAATTGCCATTACCACTAGTTATGTACAGCATACGCCTGTATATGGTATATTCTGACTTTGCTCAGGACTACCAACACACTGCCAAGTCTTAGCTGGGAATCCAGGAAATACTGTTTTATTGACCACATGCTAATAAAATTATGTTGTACCTTCAGAGTGATGTAGATGCTTTATGGGAGCCAAATTTTGGGCACAACATAGATGAGCATTCCCACTTCATTTTCTATATATTCTTTATATTCTCCATCTCTCTCTCTCTCAGCCCAACTCACCTCAGAGGGTAGTTATCATGGGGAAAATAGGCTGAGGAAAGTGTATTAAGTATGTGTGTGTGTGTGTGTTGTATGTATACACGCACACACACACACACATATATACACACATATATATATACATACATATATACACACATATATATGCATATACATACACACACATATACACATATAATCATATATATATAAATTATATATATAAATCATAATCATATATTCATATATACGTACATACATATACATACACACACACATATATATATGTATATGTATGTATGTATTTCTCTTTAGCCAGGTTCTTCCTACGTAAACCAAGATTTTTATGCAGCCCTAATTCAGTGAAATCACAATCCACTAGTTTCTAGGCTTTTTTTCTGGCAACCAGCAAGCACCCTGCTGCCCATTGGGAGACTAAGGAGACCAATGGGCAGCAGGGTGCTTGCTGGTTGCCAGAAAAAAAGCCTAGAAACTAGTGGATTGTGATTTCACTGAATTAGGGCTGCATAAAAATCTTGGTTTACGTAGGAAGAACCTGGCTAAAGAGAAATACACATAAAGCCTACAAAAGGAAAGAAAACAAATATACATACATACATACATACATACATACATTACAAACTATTCTAAAAATACAAGTTCCAGGTATATTAGTAAAAAAAGAAGCAGATATACTGTGAACTCCGGAACTTAAGATTTTAAAATTTTAAAATCTTAAATTCCAGAGTTCGCAGTATGAAAAAACTTTTGGAGTGACTTTGAGAGGTCCACCCCTCTCAGGAAAACATACCCCATATGGTTGCTGTTTTAGAAAACACCTGACAAGAAAAGGCATCCTTGTCCCAAGATGTCCTCATCAGCCACATTAAAGAGGGGTAAAATGGAAATTAGAATTCAGCCTCTGAAGAGGTACATATTGTCCATTCTTGGTCTGCACGAGGCCAAGAAAGTAAGCGACTCACAGTAGCTAAATCCACCCCCACTCAAAACTAGATAGTCTAGAGCAGGGGTCTCCAACCTTGGCCACTTTAAGCCTGGCAGACTCCAACTCCCAGAATTCCCTAGCCAACAAAGCTGCCTTGGGAATTCTGGGAGTTGAAGTCCTCCAGATTTAAAGTAACCAAGGTTGGAGACCCCTGCTTAGAGCAGAGCTGAGGAACGATGGACCCTTTATGGTTTGTGGATCTCAAGCATGGCTGACTCAAGAATTCTGGGAGTTGAAGTCCACAAGTCATAACTCCTGCTCTAGAGTATCCTCAGATCTAACCTCCCCAAAACACACTTCCGCCCCGCTACCCGTCCCTAAAAATCTGTAAAATATTAATCTGGTTATTTAATTCCCGTAGCCATACGTACAATTTTAAGTCCACCCTCCTGCCACTCTCGTCTGTTTCTCCTTGAGACTTTGAAGCAGAAGCCATTGAACCACCACTCTGATTTTGATTGGATGCGCGATATGACGAGCACGCGTTGCAACCAATGAAGTGAAGCTGGCGGAAAACGCAGCACGAGATTGCGAAAAGGATTTATGAGAAAAGGCCAGCGGAGGAGGGGCTTGGTATCTTTATCATAGATTTTTTACAAACAAGATTGACGCTATACGCCATTGAATGATTGATTGGAATCAGAGGAGCAATTTATCTAGATTCTTTTGCTTAAGACTTGCATTGCATTTGGAACTAGAGGGTTTGGAAGAAGTCAGCAAATCAAAAATGTTGTTTTAAGAATGACATTCAAAATATAAAATTTGGAGAATAATTGTATTTTTGCATTGAGCGAATTGCTTATCTTTCTTGTGGGGACCCCATTTTTTGCGATCAAAATTCTTTTGTATTATCCATCCTTGCTCTAACTTAAATGTTTTGGGATGAGTGTGTATGGAATCCTTGGCGACACATCCCTGCAACTTTCTTGGCCAAATTTTCCGAAGTGGTTTGCCTTTTGCCTGCTTTTCAGGGCTGAGAGACACTGACCCAGGGTCGCTGGCTTTTTTGTGCCTTTTAATCATTATACCAAACTAGCTCTTAAATGCGTTTAATGTATGCAATGCATTTAATGTAGGTAAGACAGCTTGCAGAGTGTATTTTGAAAGAATTCATACAATCGGCAAAATTAATAACAAAGCATTATTTCAACTTAGGGTTTCAGTTCCTTAAGTTTCATTAGCCGATGTCCTCAACTGAGCCCGGAACTATTGTACCCTATCCCGAAAACAGAGCAGCCTCGGCTCAAATAGGAAATTTGACACAGGCAGCGTGTACACTACACTCTGCAAACTTTCCTCCAGAAGTCATCTCGGACTACCTCGTCTGCAACTCAACGGTGTCGCTCTACACTCCCGCATAACGATATTTAAAGCCTCTCTACAAATGTTAAATTGCAAGTCGGGGGAATCACATGCCCGCTGAAGCTACAAAGATACGGCAAAGCCTGAGCAGCTGGACCGTCCTATGCAAATTTCTTGCTGCCCAAACTCGAATCACTTCTTAGCCCAACCTTAAGCTCAAGAAATCCTAACCGGGGCAAGAGAGACACTCTATCTAACCCCTCTCTATGTACCAGCACTACCAGATATTGAAACGTGAAAGCAGGAAAACGGAAGGCGCCCCCCCTTTATAGGAAAAGAGGACCCAATATGATAGAGCTCCAAGGAAATACTTTGGCTAGAGAGGTTGCGACTGTTCCTTCCTGGATTTCCCAGAGGGGAGGGGCACGAAGGTTGGAGGTCGGCTCGTGTGGAAAGATGGTGGCGCGCGAGGAACTCCGCGTGGTTCGCTGCGGCGGGAGCTGGTTGAGCGGGTGTCGCGCGGTGTTTTCTGCAGATTCGAAGTTAGTAGAATTGGAGAGTTGAAGAGCTTCCATGACGCGAGAAAGCTGCAATTGCAAGAAGGACGGCGTTTTATTTTATTGACATGTACCTGCGCGTGTGCAATGCACTTGTACATAAAATGCTTGCACTGATACATTCGTTAGACATATACGCGGGAATATTCACCTGATTGTAGTGGTAATGTCTTTTCTGGGTTAGGCTGTTAATATCTTTAGGCAACTGCTTTTGAGCTCCAAAAGTTCACTCCAAAAAATTACTTTAGGATGAATTTGCAGTCCGTAATGTCACTTCAAAAGGAGAAAGTGCCATAGGATCTGCAGTTAGAATGTGACTTCCCTCTTAGATTCTTGCTGTAATCTTTAATGTTTGTGAATAGAGAGTCTAGATTTAGTTCTCAGGTCAGTAGTTTAAGCCGTGTAAAAATAGAGGCAGATCTCTTTTGTTTTCTTGTAGACTGAGGACATCACTTCTCTGGGATTTTGGCTTCTAAATTTCTGGTGGTGGGTCTGTGCTTTGTTTTTATATTGATGTGAAATGTAAAATGATACAAATATATGAATCTTAATAAGTTTGTTATTGCTTCATATTTATTCAAAATACATTCGTCCGTATTTTGTTTTTGAACGACGCACCATAGGTTTAAGGTAGAGTTTTAGTGCTGATAGATCACATAGTTTAGTGGATTTTGAACAGTTTATTTTAGTCTTTTAGCTTTAATGTTAAAGATCTGATGAATCATGTTTTCTAATTCTGCTTAACATATAATATGTTGTTCGAATTACATAGATGCCTTTTACATTAACTTTTTAAAAATCATTTACAGGTATCTTCTATGTGCTTCAGGTGACTACATTAAAGTCTACAGTACGCTTACAGAAGAATGTTTACATATCCTACAAGGTCACAGCAATCTAGTGACAGGAATCCAGTTGAATCCTCAAAATCATTTACAGGTTGTTATCAGTTTCATTATGGCATGTCATTTTATTCAAACATAATTGGGGTACAGGGACATATAGAAGGGCTAATAATTGAAAATTGGAGTTTTCTGAAAATAGGATTAGCTGTCTATCACTGTAAACCTGTAAAGACAATGTATGGCTTTTATTTTTCACTGTCTAGAATGCTATGTTTACTTCTGGATCAAATTGCTGGGCATATATCAGTCCAATTGTAGCATGATTTGAGTTTGACACTTTTGAGCCAGTAGCATTGACTTACTAGTTTCTTGTACAGTTTAAAAGTTCCATGCCATTTGAGGCCTGCATAGTTTAAAGCAAACTAGGGAAACACTTGTTTTCTAGATTTATTGGATCTCAATTTTCATTATCTCTGATTATTGGGCATTCAGTTAGGACTGAGAGGGCCCCAGGAGTAAATGCTGCTTCTCATCTCTATCCTTATATGGAAAAAAGAATTGGTTAGGCTCAGAAGTACCTTTTGCATCTGTTGTATCCACTCAGTGGAATTTCTCCATGGAGTAATGCAGCAATTCTTTCTTTGTGGATACCTAAGATCCACTACATAAGGTTGTTCCCTCAGTGCTTCTTGCTGGATAAGGACTCTTAAAGTTAGTATGTATCTGTGGGACCTAAAATGGTCCTTCAAATTCTATCATGTTGGTTGGGTTTAATTATTATTGGGTTTCAGGAAAGTTTTTATAATTTTTTAAAAAAATCTATGTTCATGCTATTTATGAGCCTGTGTTTTGGCAGAGATCAGGAATAAATATGCGCACATGATTTTTATCAATATGAATGATTTTACCAAATACATTAAAATATCATATACTATAATGTCATAAATAAAGCAGGAGCCGCTAGGAGTACAGAAACTCAACACTTTTTCTATATGTATCAAAATTGAAACTTATAGATCACTTTTTTTCTCTTCTTACTAGCTTTATTCATGGTCTCTAGATGGCACTATTAAACTCTGGGATTTTATGGATGGAATTCTTATCAAGGTTTGTTCAGTTTTCCTTTTCTTTAATCTTTTATAAATCATTCATAATTTATGCTCACAAAGATATCAGACCACAAATTAGTACAGTAATCAGATTTGTACCTAATGAACCCAGAAATATTCTTTTGATTTCAGCAGTTAAATAATATGCATTATAGTGGGATGATATTGGGTGTGATTTTTGTATGGTTGCGTAGCTATAATCTGCTAGTATCATGCAAACCACATGTTAGCTATTGTAAATGATTTATTGCATATGAAATGTAATCCAAGACGTAATACAAAATATCAAACAAAATTTACCCAGAAATGTAAATGGCTCTTGAAAGACATGAAAGCTTGGCTGTTCAGGAGATTTGGGATATTTGAGATATTGTGAGCTTGTTTTTTTTCAATATTGAAGTATTGCTTAATGTCATTAATGTTGTCGAATTTGTATATTTGGAATATGTTCATATTAGTAGGAATTATTTTTATTTTATTACTATTTTAATCTGATGTACAGATGCCAGGTTTTGTTTCTCAATGATCAGTGATTGGAGTGGTTTATAAGACTAGGAAAAAATAGTATATCGTATTATATTTGGTTATGATTGCTCAGTATGACTGTTATTATTAATTTCTTGCAGTAATTTTTGTTAGTATTTAAGTTGACTACTGTGGCTATTTTAGGGCTTTTAAAAATATTTTACTGTAACTGTTTTAATTGCTGTAGCAGTTCCTGTACATTTGACAGTGGAATAAATGGAATAAATAGGTTTTCTCTAGTTTACTGTATGTAGTATGTACAGTGTAACTGTTATGTACAGGGCCAGGATGTGAACAGAGGTTTCTCAATATATAGTCTATTATAATTGCAGTTTCTTCTGATACAGTGGTTGTCCCTGAATGACCACTTGTTCAGCAACTGTTCAAACTTGTGACAGCTACGAACGAGTAGTACTTACAATTGGTCCTCAAAGTTCTGGTGATTGCAGCATCCGCAAGCTCATGTGACTGGGTATTTGGTCCCCAGCACACAGTTACAGTGATTTTGTGATGTCCCAAGCATGATCATTCATGCCATGAGAAAAACAGGATATTCCAGGAGTACCGTACAATTCTATCCCTACAAATGTTGCATTTTGCACATCCATATTTTATCAGACACTCTGATATCGTATCTTCTTCAAAACTAAATTCGTTACTCAAAAGGCAGCTGGAAGGTAAATGTTTTGCACAAAGTAGTTATGTGATCACCCTCTGCGGGCTTCTTTGCTGATTTTCTACTAGCAGTGTCAGTAGGGAAGCTGGCAGGAAGTGGCAAATGACCACATGATGTCCTCATTTAATGACATGGTGATTTGCTTAATGACAGCAACAAGGAAGTGCTGGCACTGCAATCGCTAAGCAACATGGTCACATGGCATCACATTTACGACTACATTGCTTAGTGGCAGAAATTCCAGTCTCAATTGCTGTTGTTAACAGGACTACCTTTAATTTTGCAGATTGTGTTTATGTATTTTTTTAAATAATTGGGGGGATGTATCCCTTTTTATCAAGTGAACTCAAGACTGCTTAATAATGAAATGAAATATTCAGCATGAATAATATGTTTTTGGGAACATATTCCGTTGTGCTGGCATAAGAGCAACTA